AAATCATATATCAAAGTAATTGAAAATTTTAAAATTTACTGTCACACAGGTTGCATACCTTTTCTTCAAAATAGTAACTAGATTTTTGGTGCTCGAACAATCTCAGCCATACCGCTTCAAGAGTCTTTTCCAAAAAGGTCCTTGTTCAGTTTCCTACATTTTGATTATTTCAGCCTTCCGTTATTTTAAAAATTCAACATTATTTTTATTGTTTAGTTGTCCACATTTTTACCTACATAAATATATACATTTAATTTTTGAAAACAATTTACTAAAAATGGAATTTTTTGACAAAACGGCACCACCACTTGACGAGGGATTTTTAAAATCATTAGAGTTATAATGCAACTTTTTTGTGTTGCTTGGAAATTCAGCAAATTTGTGTTCGCCAGAGTTGGTGCTCATTTTGAATCGCTCTCTGATTACAACGCATTCGCCTCGCGTGGGACCGTCGGCTCTCGGCTTTTAGCGACGACCATATTGGCCCTCTTTTCGCGTGCAGGCAGGTTGCAGAGCTCACATACATATTATTGTAGGCGCTGCTGCTTTGTAGTAGCACGCCCGGCCGCCCGCCCGCGAACGGCATTCCTCGGAAGTAAACGCTGTCATGCCCAAGTGAAGAAAAAAAAAGATTCAAGTGCTGCTGCCTCGGATATTCGGTTTCCATGGCAACTTTGAGAGGCGCAGGAGTGTTGCTTGATGTTCTCTCGGGATAATGATTGGGCGCCACAAAGGTCACTACTCAACGGGGTTGGTTAGATTTACACCACCATAAGGGAGAGAGCGCGCGAGCGGGAGAGCAACAACCACACGGTCGCTCTGCTCCGCTCGTGTAATAAAAGAGTATCATATTGTAGTGCGAGCAGCTCGCACGCTCGTTCGGTTCAGCAGCTTTAAGGCAGATTAGGCGGAGGCAGCTCTCCTCTGTTATGAGTAGTAAGTACCGTTTTAACTTTTAACTAATACTCGGCATTTTTCCCTTTCGTCACTTTTCCGTTTGACGAAAAACTCGACGAACTTTTAAGCTACTCCAATTTGATCAATAAATTATCGCAATTCTTGCTGCTCCCCCCCCCCTCCCCTCGCATGTTGACCAACTCGAAATGCAATACCTGTCGACGACACTCACCGGCCGTGTCACTGTTTTGCACCAACGGAATCGGTGGCAGAAAAGTGATATTCGCTCCGAGTGGCCTTGCTTCTATGCCTGCATGCGCAAAACTCGCGGGTCACGTGACTCGGTTTCAAACCCACGTCTTAAGTTTTTTCCTGCGAGCAACAAATTCGATTTTCCTGCATGTCGAGTTTTATCTTGCTCGGCGTCGCGGGTCGCCTGCTTATCTCTCTCTTTTTTCGATCAGTGCGAAAACGAACGGTTTTGCCAACCTTAGCGAGTGGAGAACAAAGCGGAAAAGCGGCTAATTGTGCGCTTGCTGCTGCTATCTGTTGCCAGCCGCCGTGAGGAGATGGATTTGATATTCGAAACAGATTGTGTGTTGATTTTGATTATCTCTCTGGCATGCCGCCGCCAGGGTATTAAGGCATTAGCGCGTGCCGAGTGCTGATAAATGATTAATTCTGTTCATTCATCGCTGAAATTGAGATTTTTCCATCAGCTTATTTTTGGCTTGTCAAATTTGTCTGGAAGAAAAACATCCTCGTTTACATAAGTAAGAAAAATAATAATTGAATAAATTAACTTTGAAAAAAAAAATTAATAATATATAATATTTAGTACTCAACAGAATTTTTAGGTATAAGAAAATCTTACAAACGTGTCTTAAAAGTGATCTGCAATTTAAAGGATTAATTCTATGTCTTTAAGTGACCTTTAAAGCTGCGACTTTAATTTTTTTTAATTATTCAGGCAGAAAACAGTAATATAAAATTTTTTCCTGCAATTTTTAAAATCTGCAAAGAATAGTAAAGTTTATAAAACAATTGAACAATTTTTTCTCATAAAGAATTTAAAAAAAAAAATTACTAGCTTCTTATTTTTAAATAAAGAAAGCCTAAGTGTTTAGAGTTTAAAGGGCCATTAAAGCCCTTGTGATTTTTTTTAATTTTTTTGGTGAATTTGGCAAATTTTGCACACCCGCCCCTCCCCCTGTGATCCACTTTCCGCCCTCAAGCTTCTCGTTCGACCCTCGGCGGCGGCTTTTGCTGCAGCATGACAAGAATTCCGCTCTGCACCCGCCATTGCTCTCGCTCGTACGTACTCTTGGCTAAGTGAGCGCACAAAGCCGAAGCCCCACCCGAGAGCGAGATATACATATATTTACATGGGTTGTGCACGGCGGCGGCGGCGGCGGGCACATACACACACCACGTACATCTTGCTTTCACAGCCGAGCTCTAAACTCTGTGAAGTTGATATAGTTTGACGCCATTTTATACACTCGGTCGTCATGAAAGCAGGCAGGATTGTTCTTACACGCAAAATCACGCGTGATAAGAAACTCTCAAAGCCGCTCAGGAAATAAAAAAATACTTTTCAAAATACATGGAAATAATTCAAACGTGGAGTTTTTGGTTTTGTTGAAAAAGTTCATTTTTCCAAACGGCTTCTCATCGACTCTCGCACTCAGGGCTTGTCGTCATCATTATCATTTCCGGTGATTCTTCTAATGCCGCCCGTCAACTACGCGAGAGAGCAACTATTTAGGTTTGCCCCAGCAGCAGAGGCACCCATCGCTCCTCGATTGGGCGACACGTATGCGCGACTCCATGTTGGGTAAAAACGAGAGCACGAATTTCCTACATAATATATATTTATCTTATCGGCTGCGAGAAACAATTAGCGTGCGTTTATTCAACATTCGGCGACGGCATGGCAACTGTGTATCCAAGTGCGCAGCAGTTTTTCTCACCCCCTGCGTCTTGTACACGCGCCTTTACTCGTGGGGGTTGGCTGGCTGGCGAATTATAAACTCGAGCGAGCGGCGAGAGAGTCAAACTAGCGTTTGACTGCATGGTTACCCATCTCTCTAGTCGCGGAGTGTACCTTGCAAAGTTATTGATTATTTTGTAGGCCCAGCAGCAGGCGGGCGAGCACACCACGATTGTTAAACAACCCTCTGTGTGATATGCTTGCTCACTCTTGCCTGCCTGCCTGCTCCACATTATCTCCTTCCGCGGCGGGGGAATTAACTAACGGCAGACGAAGGGGTAATTTTCACATTAGCAACGCCGCTCAATTGCATAAATATTTTTCCTTACGCCCTTTGCAATGTCCGCGTATATTGGAATATCAGATTCTCCTCCAATCAGATCTGTGGCTTTGACCTAATTTCAGGCAATTCCGCAGGAAATCGTTTCCAGTTGGGCATTTCCCTCGAAAACTGCCATCAAAATAAAAACTTTAAATTATCAGAATTTCAAACCTCATAATATTAAATAATGCAAAACTAGAAGCGAAATATTCGTCATTTTGAAAAATCCCTTGGGGGTTTCTTTTGTTAGGAATAATTTTTAGGTTGTGATACAAATGAAAACGACTCCAGTTTTAATGCTTTTAATGTTTCTTTTTCACCACCACGTACCAAACCTGTTGATAATTTTTAACAAGTCTGCCGGCGATTAACGAATTTTGCGATTGGATGGCCGCGCCGCCGGAGAGTTGGGCAAATTAGCAGTGACCATGCACGAATTGGCCTGCTCGGGGCATCTCCTTGGCCAATCGATAGCTGATGTAGTGGTATCACACAGAGCTAGTGATAGGGATTTAATACGCATGATCCTGACACACGCGAAAGTGTGCGACGGAGAAACTAACCGACGTCTCTCCGCACTCTCCGTCGACTTTAGTTTTTGTTGCCGGGGGGTTGCGTTGGTACCTCTGATTTGTTTGAAGTTGTTAGGCGCTTAGCTGCTGTGGGGTCACATTAGGTGTGGTGTGTGTGTGAGAGTTTGGTACTCTCGCTCGCTGGCTGCCTGCCTCGCAGCACAGAGTGGCCGAATATGACTACGCACTTGCGCAATGCTTTGATGCGCTCAAGGGCGCTCTGGAAACCAACAACAACTCTTTTCTTCTTCCCTTTTCGGATTGTGTCACGCTAAATATTGCGTAGCTGAAATCGGTGCGAGCGGGAAGTGCGAGTCGCCGTCGCTCCTCCTCCGACTATGGTCAAGTACAATGGCGGTACGTATATTTTTATTCGGTGCACACGTACAGGGCTGCAGAGACGTTTTATCTCTCGCTGGCTGGCCCGTGCGCTCGCTCGCCCGCCCGTTCGCTCTCACTCAGTTAGTAGTGAGATGCTCCACGAAAATAGAATAGGTGCTGCGCTGCTCCTTACGCTCTTCTTCTTTCCACTTGCTTTCGATGGATCGATATATGCGGCTGCTTGACTGCTGCTTACGTGCTACTGCTGCTCCTCTATGTGGGACATGCTACAATCTCATGCTCTTGCTTCCACCATGATTCCAATCTATTTGGTCGCAAACCTATTTACAGCCCAGCAGTCCAGGTTCAGAAATTTAAACGAATACGTCAAAAATATTTCACGATTGCATCGGTAGAAAATTGTGCAAAAAAGTTTTAGTTAATAAATATTTTTAATTTATTTATTGGGAAGGTAGGCAACCTGCGTGACACATGAATTGATGAAAATAACCCTCTTGAATATTTCTCAAAATTTGTGCAAAGAATAATCGCATAATTTTATTTATAAAATTTGTCGATTTTCAATTGAAGACGAGCCGTTTTCAAAGCTAATGAGCGTGCTTTTGGTTTGGCACCTAAAGAAAACTGCAAGTAATTTAGTGGCACCGCCACTCGGTGGCAAAGGCACAAGCATGTGATCTCGGTCGAGTCTCTATTTTCTAAAGAGTGTCTATTTTAATGCCTCGAGCATTCTGCGGCTGTCACTGCTGATTACTTGTTACTGTCGCATTCGCGCTCAGAAGAAATATTCGTTCCCACTTAATTATTAATGTATTCTTTATTTATTCAGATTAGAAAAAAAAATATTGTTGCTAATTTTTCTTGATTTTTGCAGGCGCAGTAGCCACAGGGATCCCCAAAATGGAGAACTTTCCTCAGGCGATTGACCCGAGGAAGCAGGAGCTCTTGGAGGCCCGATTTCTCGGCGCGTCCCGAGTGAGTATCTTTCCTAATGTGATTTTGTTAATTGGCACACCCTTGTGCATGCCCGTCGATTTATATATAAATGAGAATCACAGTCGGCCTCACAATAGACTGTGTGATGCATGCCCCAAGAGTGTCTTGGTGTGATCCCGAAATAAAATGTGTCATTTTTTGCTCAGCGAGCCAATTCTTAATGGCCGCCCGAGTGATGGACGGAAGATTTTTCCCCTGTCTGTCTGTCTGTCTGTCTGTCTGTCTCCTGCTTGTAACGTGAGGGCCTTTTTGGTGCAGGGCCCGCCGGAGTACTGCCCGTCGAGCGCCTGCCCCCAGTGTCCGGCCGCCGGAGGCCCGCCGCCGCCTCCTCCGACAAGCACGGCCGCAGGCGCCCGATGTGCCATGCCGTCAGGCTCGGCGTCCAACCCTCTTGAGTGGATGGTGATGGGCGCGGCTGGCAGCACTGCCCGCGTACCTGACCAGAGGCAACCACCCCAGCAGCAGGTGAGACACCAAACACCACCTTTCTCAGACTTCTCTCCCGCTCTTAACCCGGCCGCTGGGACACACACACGAACACTCCGAAAATTCGCTAAATTTTGTTTTTCAATAACCAAGACACTTGTGACCAAAATCCATTTGCGAAGCGAGGGAAACCATTCCATGTAATTGAAAAATTGAAAAGTTTAAAATTCATTTTTTGTTTTAAACTAACACAATTTATTGGTAAAGAGTTAAAAATTCTGAATTTTATTGGGCGGAAATTGGATCTGATTATTTAAAAGGAAGCTTGACTGCGGTTTTAGCTCTTGATTAAAAAATTTAAATCTTTTGGAATTCCCTTGACTGCAGAAAGCGCCTCGAAAATTAATTTTCCTTCCTTTGCAGTTTTAACATTAAACTTAGTTCAAGATTATAAAGAAGTAACATAAACAATTATACTTTAAACTTTATAGCTCTATTAGCATACTTGCAGCCTTAGATATTCCAATTCAATTATTTCCTCTAAAATGGTACTAAAATTTGAGGAATTTTAGATATAATATAGAAAGGAAAAGTATCCGGATGGAAAAAAAAATTTTTTTCTCAAAATGTTTGCAGGTTACTGATATTATAAAATCTTTAACATAACATTTTTTAATGTTGAATTTAGAAATATAAAACAGTATTTGATATAAATATTTATTTTAGCCCCCGTTGGCTTCCAAAATAAATCGCGACACTCGGCTCGAGCCGCGGTGAAGTGCGATCTCATCTCGCTCTTTTGCGGACAGCCATATTTGCCGGGTTTGAGCGCCGCCAATTTTCCGTCGGCGGCGGATATCGACTGCTGCTTTGACTTGCATCGCGCGCGCGGTGTGAATAAACTTTTTGCCCGTGCACCTGCCACAATGGCGAACTCTTTCTTTCGGAGCCGCCCCGGCCCGCCTGCTTCTGCAGAGCGCCTAGCTCGCGGTGTCGTCGCGAGAGGTCCAAGCACTTTTATCTGCGCTGCCACTTTTGGTTGCCATCAAACATGGTGGACCATCCGAGAAGAAGTGGGTGGGAGGATGTGGAAACGCTCGCTCTCTCGGATATACACGTTCGCGCGAGTTTTAATAAAGAGAGGTGTCTCGGCCTCTGCCGCGATTCGCACAAATCGCCCCCGAAAAAACATGGCCGCTCCCTTTCTCGCTCTCTCTCGCGCGCTAGCTTTAACGGCATTAAGGATAAAAGGGTGTAGATGTAGCTGAAAACGCAGCAGCTTGTTTGATATGTCTCAACACATGACGTCACCTCGTTGGTTATTGATTATTCTCGGGCTAGCTCAAACAGGCAAGCCAACAGCCTCACCAGGCAAATCTAAATAAAACACACTCACACACACCACCACCATGCCACCCCAGGCGGCTCCGCGCACATAAACGCTCGGGGGTCGTGACCAACCATCACCGTCACTCCCGACCCAACTTCCGTCTCTCTTCATATCACAAAATCTGCCCAAATTTCAGAGCTTTCAATGTTGATTTAGCTTGATTAAAAACTTTTTCATTGCTTAAAATAGTCATAAAATTTAAATTAACCAAGGGGATCAAAACCGACTGATTTTTCAGTTTTTCTCTTGGCAACTTCTGAAGTTTGCTGCACTGATCAACTCTTCAAAGTTAGTTTTAGAATTGAAGCCGCCCTTTATTTTATGAAGAGGCTTTTTGATGTTTAATTTGGGTGTGCTTTGAAAAATTAATCTCTCAAGCGAACAAAAACCCACTTCCGGTGCAGATAAACGTTCCCTTTTCGGGCTTTGAGTCATCGCGCAATTTCCTCCGAAACGAGTCGTCTTTGTCCGCTGTTGCCTTTTCCTTCTTTCCACCCCGTGCTGCGTGCGGGTGGAGCGCAGTGAGGATTTTTCTCTCTCGTGCATCGGCCTGCTCACTTGGCGACTAATTCCATCAATATGCTCGGGGGGCAGCACTGCGAGATGATAATGCAGCACCACCCCGGCCGGCCGAGCTGCTCACTCGCTCGCTCGCTCCTTATTATTCTTATTGTGGGTGTTATCGATCCGATTTAAGGCCATACAAGTAATTCCTCTCTCGTGTGACCGAATCACTCGTTGGTCGCTGAGGTTGTGTGCCTCTGTTTCACGTTTTTGCCTCCTCCATTATTCAAGCAAAGGCCTCTGCGCCCGGTTTTAAGCATGTGAAGAATTAATTGCAAACAATTCATTTGTCCTTAAAAATTCATTGTGATTAATTAATATTTTTAATAACCGAATAAGGGAGAAAACATTTCACAAGAGACACATATTGCTTAAAATAACTTTTTAATTTCACGTTTACTCGACCTTTACAATATAAAGAATAATAAAAATTCTGACCTTTGATTTTCTTACTTTTCAATTTCTTACAAATGAAAAACTCGATCTCTGAACAACGAATTTCTGATAAACAACGGCGACAACTCGTCTCTTTTTCAACCAAAATTCTTTTCACTAGAGTATATAAATTTCAAACATTTTTCTTCAAGGAAGGCTGGTATTTCCATTGCAGCGTCAGAATGCCTGTATTTTTACTATTTAAGCGTTTTGGAATTTCTAAATATCCTACCACAGTAAAATAGCTTGTTAATAACAATTTATTATGATAAATCATTTAAGCCACTTTTATTAATGCCATATTTAGTTAAAGGAGAATGAATAACTAAACAATTCAATAAATTTTAAATAAAATACCTGCGACAGCAACCCACTTATCAGCGGAGTACGGCGGCATTGCATACCCTGTAGGAGGTTGCGTCATTTCCACCTTGTTTTTTTTTATATGCCGCCCGGTTTGATTTGATCGCCGTCGTCAACCTCGCTGCAATAAATTCTTTCCGCACATACACTCACAGCAATCCACCTGAGCGAGGTCTCCAACCTCCAGCCAGAAGGTGACCTTGATCACAATGGCCACTTTGCAACCTTTTTGTCCGCCCGTCTCGATTACGTCGCGATGCCAGCAACCGTGTTCAACAAACACTTCGATCGATAAAAAAAAAATCAAAATTAATTCAAATGAAGTCTGGATGATAAATTTATCAAATCATGCTAAAAATATTTTATTTGCATTATTTGATATAAAATCAACTTTATTTTATTGGTGAAGATTGCAAAAAAATTTATCGTTTGAATTCCTTACAAATAAATTTAACTCTTACAAATCTCCTGTCAAAATAATTGACATAAATCATATTATTTTTCCAATTGAAAGTGAAAGTAGTCTGTCAGTAATTTTATTTACGACCCAAAATGCATTTTAAAAAGCGCCAATTTTCTTGTTTCAATCAGCAAAATATTTCCACGAAGCAAAACGGCACAAGCGAAATTATGCAAAAAAATCCGCAACTTTCTTTCCGCCGACCTTTTCGAGCACTTGCCATATTTATCATAAGTAGAGTGCTCGCCGCCGATCGATAGAATCAGCCTGCGAGAGTTGAGTGTACTCGCCTGCTGCGAGCTCCGCAGAGGAAGAATGAATAACTTGTGCGTTAATATTAATAATGCACTCGTGTGCGCTTTCGGACGCGAACAATTAAAAAAAAAAAAAATTGTGCACCGTCGCGGCGCTCATTGGCATGTAATCGGGTCAAATTAATCAAGTCTGTCGGCGCGTTGCAATCGAAAGGACGAAATTAAACAATAAAATTAATTGTGTGCGTGGACAAAAAAAAATAGATTGAATTTAGTGGGAAAACGAGGGTGGAACGTTTGATAGAAGCGCCGGGCGCAGCCACGGATGGTGCGGTAAATAGGTTTAAAGGTCTGCTGCACGCTGGCTGGTCGGTCGGTCGCGGTGCTCACTCGCCTTTTCACACACTCGGCATGCCATTCCGGCGGCAACAGCGCACACCCGCTTATCGGCTCGCCGCGCCAGGCACCACAACACTCGGCTCGGCAAGTCGCGCCTGGTCCGCCTGCTACTGTGAAACCGCTGTTTGCGAGCTCGCGGGGCTCCATGTTTCTTTCTTTCTTTCTTGCCATTCAATATCACCCATTTTTTTTACACTCGTGAAGCATTTTTTTTTCTTTTTAAATTTACCTCCGGCTCTGGCGATTGTATTTAAGAGAGCATCAAACTTTTTCAATAAACATATTTTATTCCGTGGCAGAAGAATTTCGCCTTGGCTGCTTTTATTTTCGGACGCACCAAAAGTCAATACGTGGGGCCGGTTGTGTCTGTCAAGTAGATTGTCGTGGAAATTAGCAGATGGGCTCTCGAGAGAGAGTGTCACTTTTTATTCGGAATATTCGTCAGTACAAATAAATACATGATGTACTTTCTCTTTGTGGAGTCGTTTTAAATGTGTTTGCCTTACAATTTAATTTGCACTGATGAAAATCAAGTATTGTTTTACTGATTGAAATTGATTGGAATAGCTATTTTTCAATTATAACATTAATTATATTTTAATTTTTCAAGTTTTGAACGCACAAAAATAAAAATTGCTTTTTGATTGTTTGGAGTGAGATTGCAAAGTTTCGCCAACTTGGTGACATCACCCGATATTGGCGACGCTAATGAAATTAAAGAGCGCGTAATCGCGCGTGCGAGCCTCTTAAAATTCTTATCACCTCTGAAGCGAACAGATTCCAATTGAGGCCAAGGGTGAATTATTTTAAATAGCGACTCTTTTCGTCTGCAAAGTCACGAGGAGGGCCTCTTTTAAGCGCTCGTTTGTATTATTTGCAAGTATGGCCAAGGTGATAATTTAATTGACGTTCTCTTGAAAACTGACCATTCTCCCGAGGTGGCAAAATGAAAAAAAAATATAATAAAAATTAATGGAGTTTTGGTCTTTTTAGATAGAGCACACAATCAAACTTATTTAGTTTGAGCAAAAGAGCTTGAAATTTTACAATTTTTTGTTGAAAAATTGATTATTTATTTTCGCTCGAAATTTCAATTCTTAATAAAAGAATCAATTATGCACTAGAAGTTCTTGGTATTTACAAAAAAAAGTTTTATGCAAATTTACTTTGTTGAGATTGCGTTTTTAATAGATGCATTGACAACTGAATGACTTGGATTTTCACAAATTTAAATGAAAACCTCACGACTTGCCCAGATCCATATTCTCCGAGTGCCGTAATCTGACCCTATTATTATTCCCACAAGCCGCGGACGTTATCATTTACGTAGAATGCTAAACGTTTTTCGAAATCTCTCGAATCGTTTTTTATCCTCTCCTTGATGGAGAGAAGCATTTTCCTCCCCTTCAAATCTTCAAATTAACCAGACGAATGAGTGGTTGTTTGGTGTTGTTGCTGACCAATTTGGCACCCCTGCCTGCGTTAAGGGACGCCGAAGGTGGCGCGCGCGGGGCCCCTCGGGTGCACCGAGCGTGTTCGTCTGGCTCCTCCTCCCTGATTCTAGAAGTCCATACACTCGTTCGGTGTGGTGTCGTCACAATATCATATTTTCCGGGAACAACAGCTGGGGTTATTGAGCCGGCAACTGCGCTGCGCTCTCGTCGTCGCCACCGCCGCCGCCGACCGATTCCTCGGCAGTCTCTCTCCTCCGAGCGAGAGGCCGGCCGCGCGCTTCTTTGCTCTGCTCTTTGCAAGGGAAATGGGGCCCGGCTTTGCACTCGAAAGGGGCCCCTGTTTGCGCGACCACGAGCCACGGGCAGCGCCCTTTTTCGTGTCTGGCGAGGGCAGAGTCGGCGCCGCCAGGGATGCTCCTCTGTGAGGGCACGGCCATGGATGGAATGCTCCGCACCCTGCTGCACCAGTACTGGCACCTGCAGAAGGTGATTTTCAATTAGGCCACGTTTTAAAATTTGAAAATTAGTATGCAACATTTCCTCTAATTAATTCGGCAGACCTTTCCTTTCTTTTTCCTCTGTTTCGAGTTAATTTTGTTCCAAATTATTAATTATCATTTTATTTCAAAGACCTGAACTTTAAATTTTAAATTCCACCCCCTACCACGTTGTCCTTTGAGAAGCCTGCCAAGCTAGATCGAGCTCTGCTCTCCCCTTAAATCACTGTTTCTACATTTGATTTTTTATTTAACTTTTGCAAACACCAATTGAATTTTATCCTCTCCCCTAAGGCTTTTTATTTTGATATCAGCTCGCTTATCTCTGCGAATCCAACGTTTTTATTTGCAGACCAAATATTGCATGATGAGAAATGGCGAGTCGTTTTGAATTTTGAATGAAAATGAAGAATTTAGAATGGAATATACAGTGGTTTAGCGATGGAAACTGCGCGTAATTAGACGGAAACGGTGGAGGGTAGGTGGGTGGGTGACGAATCGAGAGGCTCGTGTTTGCCGCAGTGTGACCGTCCGGCAGCGGCGACGGCAGTCCTCTTCGCCACATTGATTTTGTATCAGAAGGTCTCTCTCTCTCGCTCATTCGCCATGTTGGATCGGCGAGAGATGGTTGGTTGCCAGGGGTTTCTTTCTTTTGTCATCCGTGGAACAAGTTTTGTTGTCCGCGCGCGTACTCACTCACAAAAGCCCCCTCTGCATAGATTCCACTGCTTGCACCTTTTATTTTTATCGGGCAAGCTGCAGGATGTTGTGCCAGCGAGCAATGCCTTCTTCCTTCTCTCCTTGCTGCTGTTAGATGCACTGTTGCCAAAATTATTTTCCAAATTTAATAATCCTCGTGAGATGTTGGACAAAAATTACCTCCTACTCGCGGCGACGAGCGAAAATAATCACTCGTCGGGGAGGTTTCGCCATTCCGTGTCCGCTCCGAGATTATTTTTCGATTAGTCAGCGTGGTAAGTTTGCTGTGCGCGAGTGACATTAATTTGGATCACGTGCCCTTCCCGGTCGAAAAGAAACTGATAACGGAATTACGAATATTCCGTTCGACTGCCACTGCAAAGTCTGAAAGCAACATTCAAAAGTACTTGGACGGTAATTGGTACTAGTTTAATTTTTAATTGAACTTGAGGAATAATTTGGGTTTTGCCATTTCAAACGCTCAATTATGTTATTAATCTTAATCGGAATGATAATTTTAATTTTAGCCCAACTTAGTTTCATCCTTTATTTTGAAGCTAAAAAAACTTTAAATTCCAAGTTCAAAGTGTTACCGATTGAATTATTTCTTTTTAATAGTTATATTTAGAAAAATGAGTTATTTTTATTCAAATTTATTTATTTTCAACTTTCTTGAAGATTGGTTGTGTCTTTGAACTTAAACCGGAGGAAATCGTCCACGCTAACCCTTTCGCTGGATAGGACATTCGAAATCGGATCTGAGTAATGGAGACATAATTGCAAAACACAAATACTCGATTACTCATGAGCGCGCGTGTAAAAATAGAGCTGATCTCGTTTTCTCGTATCAAAGATGGTGCCCTGGCTGCTCTTCGTTTCTCGGCAGCATATTTTAGTGACGCGGAGCAGCGAGCGAGCAAGCGGTTTCGGTATAGATTTCTATCGGCAGATATGCAGCAGCAGCGTTGAGAATGAGAGAGAGAAAAAAAAAATCGAGCCGCTTCTGCCGTGATGAGTGCAGAGCAAGAGCATTGGCCCGGCACACAATAAAGCGGCATGCACCGAGTTGCTAGTCGGGTTGCTAGGGCACAATATGTCCGACGGCCGCTCAAATCAGGCTGTGCCAACCTTGATTGATCCGACCGAAGGAAACAATCGCCGCCGCCACCGCCGGTTTGGCATCAGCGTACCAACGTACGTACGTACAAGCACTTGACATCATGCGGAGGCGCTTCGCGTTAATTTGGAATACGTACATACTTACATAGTGTGCTGCTCGCAACGCATACATAAATCGCTGTGTCGCGTCAAAAACCAGGTCAACACACACGACTGTCTCTCCATTCGTGGCCAGAGACTGTTGACCAACTCAAAAAGTGTCATTAATGCACAGTTTCTTATTTTTTACTTCCAAATTTGTGGTTTTTCCCTAGAGCTTCTTTTATTCGGTCCATTGATAATTTTTTGTGCAAAAAAAGGTTCAGATCTAAAATTCAGAATCTTTTTCACTAAACAAATGAAGAGCAATGACTATTTTTACCCTTTTTAAACAATTCACACACTACATTTGGGTTCTTTATTTTTTTTCTTTTAATCGTAATTAAAATTCACTAAATTCAGTTATTAAACATTTTTCTCCTCCTTGTTACAGATGTCGTCAGCGCCTCTCCAGATGACCCCTCAAGGGGTACCCCAGGTGCAGCAACCCCCGCCCACGGTCCCTCCCCCGATGCCCAACCCTGGGCACCCTATGCATAGTCAAGATTCAAACTTGAGTACAGGTAATTTGAAATTTCACTGCGATTCTCCAAAGGAAATGCATATGCTGACGTGTTTTTGGTGATAATTTTAAACTGTGTCACTTATGGCGGTCTTTTATTTTTTTTCCAGGTTCCTCTCACAGTGATAAAGAAATGGACAACACGCCAGAAAAAGTTCCTCGGAGTACAGAGCGCAAGCGAAAGCGGAAAGCAGACGACGGCAGCTTTGGCGGGGGGAGCAAGGGCTCCCGTAGTGATAGCAAAAAAATCAATGAATATTTCCCAAAGCATCCAAGTAACAGCCCCATCAGGCACGGGGGCGCCAAGAGTCCCTCTCCGCAGCAAGGCTATGTGAATGTAATGGTGAGGAAGAATCAAAATTTTTAATAGGAAGCGTGCTTTACATGTAAAAATTAACTCGCAGTACCCGAGTCCACAACAAATGATGGTGGGCGGGGACTACTCAATGCAACCCCCTACCAGACCCCACCTCGTGAACCCAACAAAACAAGTGCAGACGGACCTCACATGTCAAAGGATTCAGGAATTCGAGACGCAGGCGTCTTCTGACCTGGAGATGCGCAACAATAAAATCGAGGAGCTTCAACGGGTAAGAAATATTTCCTTGGGAGTGGATAAATGTGGCAAAAATTAGTTGTATTAATTTAAAAATTATATATTTTCTTTTGACTAAAATTTGCAAAAATTATCAAGATCTTGAATTTCATTTTTCTCATATTTGCAGCAAAATGACGAGTTGAGGCACCAGCTGTCAGTGCAGCAGAAGCTGAATGAGCAGGGCAAGAGCCACCACAGCAAGTGCATCGACGTGGTCAAGAAGTTGCTCAAGGAAAAGTCGAACATCGAGAAGAAGGAGGCGCGGCAAAAGTGCATGCAGAACAGACTGAGGCTGGGCCAGTTCGTGACGCAGCGGGTTGGCGCCACGTTCCAAGAGAACTGGACCGACGGTTACGCGTTTCAAGAGCTGGCCAGGCGGCAGGAGGAAATAACCGCGGAGCGGGAGGAAATTGACCGGCAGAAGAAGTTGCTGCTGAAGAAGCGGCCGAGCAATAGCGAGACCGGCCGCAAGCGCAGCGGCTCGCAAAGCGCGGCCGCGGCCGCCAGCATGCACAACGGAGGGACCGACAGTGCCTTCCTCAAGCCGGACGCAGTGCGCGAGTTTTCGTGGCAGGAGTACTACGAGGCTGACGAGATACTCAAGCTCAGGCAGAGCGCCCTCAAGAAGGAGGACGCAGACCTCCAACTCGAAATGGAGAAGCTCGAGCGGGAGCGCAACCTGCACATCAGGGAGCTCAAACGCATCCACAATGAGGACCAGTCAAGGTCAGTTCGGTCAGTCATTCACAAATTTTTTGTCTCACTTTTTGAATTTTTTTTTTATTTGATTTACAAAATAGAGCTTTTGGAGAAGATGAAGAGCCAAACATATAAATTTGTTGGCTGAACCTTTCTCTCCAAAATTTCATTTTGAAAGATTTACTCAAATTTATCTTCGGAGAAACCTTACTGACTTGCATTTCTCTCTTTCAAGATTCAACAGCCATCCCGTGCTGAACGATAGGTACCTTTTGCTAATGCTGCTCGGCAAAGGCGGCTTTAGCGAGGTGCACAAGGCGTTTGACCTCAAAGAACAGAGGTATGTTGCCTGCAAAGTCCACCAGCTCAATAAGGACTGGAAAGAAGACAAGAAGGCAAATTACATTAAGTAAGCAATCACAATTATGGCAATTTCAGAACTTGACTTATTCATTCCAACGCATCAATTGACAGAAAATAACAAAATTCCTCTATTTCCTGCAGGCATGCTCTGCGCGAGTACAACATTCACAAGTCTCTGGACCACCCGCGCGTCGTCAAGTTGTACGATGTCTTCGAGATAGATGCCAATTCGTTCTGCACTGTCCTCGAGTATTGTGATGGTCACGACCTCGACTTTTACCTGAAGCAGCATAAGACAATCCCGGAGAGGGAGGCGAGGTCCATTGTGATGCAGGTCGTATCGGCCCTCAAGTACCTCAACGAAATTAAGCCCCCTGTTATTCACTACGACCTCAAGCCAGGTGAGAAAAGTTACTTCTTCTGCTCATCATCATAAACCCCTAAAAATGATGATACATACCCTCTAGACTTAACCATGGTAGATTGTTTCAAGACGGGACTGAAAAATTATTTAAATTTTCCAAAAACATTTTACTCTTAAAACAGGAACTAAATTTTTGAATGGTTTCAGGCAACATATTGTTGACCGAGGGGAACGTATGCGGAGAGATAAAGATCACAGACTTTGGTCTGTCCAAAGTGATGGACGAGGAAAACTACAATCCCGACCATGGCATGGACCTGACCTCACAGGGCGCCGGTACCTACTGGTACCTGCCACCTGAGTGCTTCGTCGTGGGCAAAAATCCACCCAAAATATCTTCCAAAGTAGACGTGTGGAGTGTGGGTGTAATATTCTATCAATGCCTCTACGGCAAGAAGGTGAGATTTGTTGTTCGAGCAAAGGAATTTGTCTTAATCTAGTTTTAATTTGCAGCCCTTCGGCCATAACCAGTCGCAAGCCACCATCCTTGAAGAGAATACAATACTGAAAGCCACGGAGGTGCAGTTCGCGAACAAACCGACTGTGAGCAGTGAAGCCAAAGTGAGTGTCCACTTTCAATTTTATGTTTATTTTTTTTTGTCTAAATTCAAAAGAAAAATTGAGAAAAAATTGAAGAAATGCATTTCCTAGCTTTTATTGGGATTAAAAATTGTGTTTCCAAATTTTATCAAAATTTTGATTTTTTTTTTCTTTTTCTCCAAATTTATGTAGAAAAAACTTTTGCAGAGCTTTATCCGGAGCTGCTTAGCCTACCGAAAGGAAGAGCGGATCGACGTGTTTGCTTTGGCGCGGCACGAGTATCTGCAGCCGCCGATCCCCAAGTCTGGGCGCAGCAGTCAGGCCAGTAGCCAGCAGAGTGTGGTGTGCCAGCCACACCCTCACACGCCGCTGCCGAGCCAGCCCGTGGTGCCGCAGACGCCAACCACCCCGCAGCCCCAGCAGACCTCTTTTCCGGCAGGCATGTTCTCCGGAATGAACGCTTCCAGCTCATCATAGTGGCGACTGAGTTGAGCAAACTGTTTGCCCCCTCCCTTGTAAAAAGCCACCCAGTCATCAGCTTCTACACACGCAAAGACGAGTGCCGTCGTCCCATCCTAAATTGTTGATAATTGAGAAAAGTTAAAGAAACGTAAGGTCTATGCTTGCTAGTAGCATAATAAACAAACAAAACTCTCTGCTGTTTGAGAAGATCCGAGACTGGCGGGTTTTTCGGCCTTTTGGCGATCTCTTAACATTTTTCACGCAAGAATTCATCTAGGTTTAATGTCTCTATTAGTTGTTAATTATTTTTCCATATTGACTTCTTCTTGTTCTTACTTTAAAAGAAATTGATTTTCTAAATTTAAAGAATAATTATCCTTTGGTGCAATTAATGTAAGTTTTGAAAATTTCTTGCCGAAAAAACCCCTGAAATTACCACTCATTTTTTCCTAATGCCAGTCTCACTTTAATGTATCCAACTCACTCACTCGATTGAATTTTTCGACAGTCGCAGCTTTTGTTTGCTATGAGTTGTATCATGTATTTTCTACTTTCGAAAGTGACGAGAAATCCGAGAATAAGCTATTAAAAAAACAACAACACACACATACACGAGTTCTTTCACAAGAGGAATATCCATCACCGTCGTCGGACGCTGAGAACTGAGAAAAAAGAATAACTAAAATACGAACTAATAAATCAATGGACGGCCCCGTTGAGAGGACAATGGTCACGGCCGCGAGTGTGATTTTGACTTGAGCAAGCAAGAAACAGTGGAATTGTGATGTGTGACAGGCGGTTAGTTCTGCTCCATACGTGGCATGCAAAGAGTAAAACAATACGCTAGTGTGATATTACGTAGTGCACGATAAGCTAATCAAAAGAAATTGAACGAAAGAAAGAAAGCTGAGAAAAATTTGTTGCCGACAATATTTACGAGGAAATGAAGAAAGAATAAATTAATTCCAACCACATTTGGATGTAATGTACGCTCCTTTAACATAGTCCACCCGCAACATGCTGCAGTCTGTTGCCTAATTTTGTAACGGGCCAATCGTGTGTTTCTGGACTGCTCGATTTTTATTCCAGACAAAGGAAACGATTTTTGCAGCCAACACCAAAATTTTGTACTCCGAAAGAATCCGAGTAGTGTTCGAAGCACGGCTGGCCCCGCAAAGGTTGTACTTAAGAAAAGGTTTTCCGAATTTCAACGTGCAGCGTGCGAAAAGTGCGACAACAGACCGAATGAATAATGCAAAAAAAAACAGACAGATTCACGAAACCAATATGTAAAAAATTGTGTCGAACGCCAACGAACAAAAATGTTTTTGAGCGTGTGTGCGGCGCCGCGATGATTTTTCTCCGAGACAGCAAGCAAATCTTATCATTGTCATGAGCTTCCATGTTCTGTAGACCACCAACCAACCAAAACCCAACCAACAACCGGATCGAGTTGTAATATTAAACGAATTAATTCAAGTACTACTATCGTCGAATCAATCTCTCCTCTATCTCTCTCTCTCTATCATACATTCTCATTCTCTCTCACAAACACACATTACTCGCAAGATGAAAGCAAGAAAGAAACAAACAATGAAACTCAATTGTATCACAGCAGAAGCAGCTCCCACTTGTCATTCATTAATTACTTGTTGTGCGCCACCCCAGAGAGCTTGACCAACCGCCGCCTGCCATGTGGATTGACAGGTCATACAGACATGTGGCGCTGTAGTAATAAAAACATACTTAGAAATTAAACATTAAAAATTGACTTTTAATTCTTCAATCCTTTGGGAAATATCAAAAGGGCATACGTTTCCTTTTTTGATGGTTTACTTAATAATCAAAATTTAAATAAAAAATTTTAATATAAAACCTGCTCAAATTAGCAAGTTACAATGATGAATGAAAAATAGTTTAATTCCAAGGTTTAATTAAATTAGTGTTATTTCCAACAAAGAAAAAGTATATTTATATCAAGCAGATTCCTGTATTGAGGTGCAATTTAATTTAAAATACTTTTGCTAGGAATGAACGCGCACACCAGAAATCAAACAAGGATATTTATGTTCTAGTCACTCTGTTCTTATTGTTTGCTTGTAAAAAAATTATTCTTCATTAAAAACGTGCATTTTCGGTTCTTTTGCAGAACTATGATATTGTGAATATGTAGGAATACTGATTTTCGTCAACTTCCTGCATTTTAACTTCTTCTTCCTCTGCCTCTTTTAAAATCTCTCCAATTTCGGTTTCCAAATCTTCTGCATTTCTCTCATGCACCATGTGTTTGGCATGCTGGGTTTCCCTTTTGTGTTTCCTGGCAGTCTGTATGTTGAGGCACGTAAAGTCACAGTCGGGGCATTTGAAATACTTTGGTTTGGTGTGCACGTTCTCATGGAAACGTCGCCTGTATCCACTGTCAAAGGCTTTTCCGCAAAACCTGCAAGGGAAATTTTCGCCACCAATAGTTCCGACTTTTTCTTTGGCTAGCATGTGCATATCCATGTGGTTTTTCCATTTGCTCTGTTCCACAAACAATTCGTCACAAACCTCGCAAGTGTACTGTTCACCAGCACCAGAACCTAATTAAAAAAAAAGGAAAATTTAGTGTGCTATTCAGCTAATGAAGGAAATTTTAATTTCAAAAAATCCAATTGAGATATAATTTTAAAACAAAAATTAAGTGACTTTGATTATGAAATTAAAAATTCAATACCAGCAGTGTGTAAGGCAACATGGTTCTCAAAGTTGATGTGAGGCACTCTTTGATCGCAGTAGGGACACTGCCTGCGATTCTCGTAATGTTCTTTGTACTCGTGGGTAGATCTGCTGCGGGACGATGGGAACTTCTCGAGGCACATTCGACACTTGTACCTGAGGCTCTCGGGATGGGTGAAAAGGTGGCTGACCAGTTTGTAGACTGAAGTGGTCTCCATATTGCAAACAGAGCAGGTGTAGATTGGTGTTTTTACATCTTTGTGTGTGCGCCTCATGTGGCTTATTGCAATCAGTGGAGAGTCAAACCGGCTGTCGCAGTACCTAAAAAAATTCAATGGAATTTTTCAATCAAAACCGTTTATTTACTACTAAATGTAATGTTAATATTTATATGGCAAAATTAACTTTTGATAAACAATTTTATTTTGAGATTTTTAAAAATTGTTATTACTTGCAATAGAAGCTGTCAACTCCATCCTCGAGATCATCCTTTAGGAGGCTGCAAGCTTGGTGGATACTGACAACATGAAGGTAGAACAAGGCATTACTTTTGAATTGAGCGTCACAGCCGTCAATGGCGCAGTGGAATAAGCCGGACCCCAATTCAAAGGCATGTTTTTGTCGGAAGTGCGTGTGAATGAGGGACTTGCGTTTGGCCACGTAAGCACACAAATTGCATGCAAACCGCTCGTCCAAGTGCGCCTGCATGTGTTGCTGCAGGGACTGTTTAGTAGGAAACTTGACCTGGCACTCGGAACACGGAAAGTTGCGATCACCTGTGTGACCCAACATGTGTGCTTTCATCCTGTCTGGGGGTATTTTCTTGGAACAAACTTGGCATGTCAATGGTTCCTGTAATCATAAAGACCATGATATTATGAATTTAGTATATACATTAGAAGAAGTGGTAGTAAAATTAAACATTTATTGTAAATATCAATACATACCAAGTGGGTTCTCATATGGGCGGCAAGGATTAGTTTTGAGCCAAAGAGACCTCCACAAGTAGGGCACAGAAGTGCCTTTTTTGAATCATGTGTGTTCTCGTGATAGTTCCTGTTGAGTTTCCGTCGAAATACCTTTGGACAGAACCTGCATTTGTATGGTTTGTACTGCAAATGCACATTCTCCATGTGATTTTCCTTCAACCCAGAATTCATGAACATCTCATCACAGAAGTCACACTTGACAGTTGGCTCTTCCAAAGACTTTAGGAACTTGAGTGTTTTTCGGTGCTCCTCTAACATATGTCTCCTTGAAAAACATAGAAACGTTTAATTTCTCAACTTAAAAATTAATTGCAATCATCACAAATAATAAAAAAATATGTATTAGATCATTTAAAGAATAGAGGATGAAATAGAAGTTACTTACTTGAACGGTATCTTGCCGTAAAAGGTAGCGTTACACCGATTGCATTTGTGGGATTTTTTAGTTATTTTCTTCTTCTTTTTCTTGGGTGCTGGCACCGCCGTCTTTACACTTTTCATGTGTAATTGTCGCCAGTGATTCCTGAGGAGTGTTTTATTGCGGTAGTAAACTTGGCAGATTGAGCAGCGACGAAGCTTGGAAAGATGTTTCTTTCGGAAGTGTTCAGTGTATTCGTCATCCTTCGTAAAGCTAATGTTGCACATTGAGCAGATAAGTGTCGAGTAAGAGGCCTCGAAGGAGGGGTCCAGCACTTTCTCCAGGGCCTGATGCAGGGCTTCATTGTTAATGGATGCTTCCTCATCCGTATGGTCCACTAGATCGTTGTCTTGAGCACCATCATCATCTGTAAAGCCCATGCTATCTACATGTTCATGATCATTGTCTTCTCTGAAACACCAAAAATATATTTTTTTAATTTGCATTTGTTTAGTAAAGAAATAAAATGGTTACACAAATTGTTTAGCTACATATTAAAAAAAAAAATCATAGAAATTAAATCCAGTCCTAATTCAAATGTTTGGAAAGGATGTTATCATTTTTGAAGACAATCAACTATAAAAATTTAATTGATAGGATAAAATTATAGCAACTTAATTTGAGAAGTTTAAAAATTAATTATTGATGGGAGCGCATTTTGTGCTAATTCTATCTTTCAACGTGAAAAAAATAAGTTTACTTTTTAATTTTAGCTTTGCATGACTGCATTTGCCTTCAACGAGAATCAATGAGTAGTTGCATTAATGATGGGAATTGATGAGTTAATACTTTAATTTAATCTTATTTTAACATCCCCACTTTGTTTACTTACATTCCAATATCATCCATCATGGCTTTCAACACATCAACCTGAAAAGCATAGATTGGCACTAACTCGATTTTAATTGTGATTATCTTACATTTTCTGGTTCATCTTCATCAGTTATTTTGAATTTAGATCTCAAACATCTGTCAGCTTTAGCAACTTGGTTGTACATCTCGTAGATAGATTCCAAATTGGTAATGCACTGAACACATACTTTCAAAGGCAAATTGTCTGATTCAGAAACCTAAATTTTTTAGTGAATAGTAAAAATTAGAAAAATTGAAAATTATCACATACAATGATTGGCAGAACTTTGTTGATTTTCTCTGCAAGACCAATGTTGCAACCCAACTCATCAAAAATCCCAATCAGTGGTTCTTCAATCTTAGAGCACAGCCGGCAGAAACCCTCCTTCTTCAGAAAAGCCTCAGGCTCGGAAGACAAATAGATCGGCTCTTCCTCCAGTTCCTCAACAGTAGAGAGTGAGCCAGCCTCCTCCTGTTGCTGATCCTCCTCTTCCTCCTCAGATGAAGGAGACTTGGAATTTCCCTCGAGAGCCAAAAATTCTTCTCTGGTCAACATATGCGGAGGAAACAATTTTTCGTTTTGACCAGGCTCCTCTAGATCCAGCATGTTCACCCCTGGTGAGATTTTTCTGATTGGAATTAGTGGAACCAGTTCTACTTCATCTCGAGTTGCTCTGTGAGGAACAATAATGCAGGGATCAGGTTGTGAATAGCTATGCTGAAAAAAGAGCATTATTTTATAAAAAAAAAAAGAGGAAACACTATTATGCTTGAATTTCTCCTGTAAGTACCTCAATCCTTGGAGACAAGCTGCCCCTTGCTTTTTGTTCTTCGATGAACTCTTTGATCAAGCACTGTTGAAATGAACCTTGAGCCTCAATCTGGAATTAGTAAATTGCGTTAACAAAATAATTCAAAATTAAATTCAATTAATTTCATGATCCCAATCGGCAAGGAAAAAATCATTGAAGAATATAATTTAATTGTAATTCTCAGAATATATTGTACATTATACAGAGCAAAACATAAAATTTGCCGTTTGAAATATACTAAAATTATTATTTTTTTTTTTTTAATTAATAAACTACTTATATAGAGACCTCTTCAATTTCCTCCATACTGCATGAGTCTCTCCAGTCATAACATAATGCATCTTCATTTAACTTTTGTCTCACCGAACCGTTGGGCATTTTTCTACGATACTGGAATGCAGAATCAGGAAAATGCAAAGAGCAGATAAGGATTGAATTCAATCTTGCTGGGATCTTGGATGGATAGGGATAGGAGGCTATGTTCATCCGATCAAGAATATCAATTCTCCTGAAAAATCAATTAAATTTTACAAAGATATCAGCGCAAAACGATGAAAACAATCTTTTAAAATTTATTTACGTTTTGAGTGAAATAATTGAGTGAAGCGTGACTGCATTATTCTTTTCCCAGTCATCTTCGTTGTACTGGTTAGTGACGCATCGAAAATAGTGACACTTTTTTCTCTTAAATTTCAACATTCTGACAAGAGTTTAATTCTTTTCGAAAAATATAGATTGAAGGACAACATAAATTTAAAAAGAGAATATCATGTTTATAGAGTTATTGCCAAGGCATGCCTTTGTTTACATCCGAATCATCCGATGAACGTGTTGGTTGTTTTTGTGTCAGTCTGCTGAATGGGGGGCGTGGCGAAACTCTTCGGCCAAAAAGTCCAGTCAAGTGGCGCCAAGTGTACCTCTGGAAATTCTTTTTCCACTTCTTGCTTTTCTTTTCTCATTTGAATTTTTACTATGTTTGAATTACATAGTTTGATTATAATTCGATTTTATGCTACATAGTATTAAAATATATTATGTATGCTTGGTATGATTTGAAAAAAAAATATATATTATACTTCTTTGCTTCTTACATAAAAAATGAAATAATTAAAGTTTCCCAGAAATAAAACAAACTATTCAAAATTATTAATATTTTTAATAAATTTTTCTTGTCAATTTAATATTTTTAGAATAGTCTTGGCCACCAGAAAGTAAAAAACAAATCTTATTTCCTTCTGTTTTGTCTCTAACCTCCAAATGCAAACTTTGCTCTACTACAGTATGGTAATTTCATAGGAATACTGAGCTTTGCCAAATTCCTGCATAGTCTCAACAGCTCCAGGTTGTACTTCCTCTTCTAATAGCTCCTCCATCTGAGACTCCGGATCTTCCACATTTCTCTTCTGCAATATATGTTTAGCATGTTGGTTTTCCCGTCTGTGCTTCTGTGCCGTCTTCTTGTTGGTGCACGCAAAGTCACAATCGGGACATTGGTAAACCTTTGGTTTGGTGTGCAGATTCTCATGCCAACGTCGGTGATTTCCATTTGTAAAGGTCTGCCCGCAGTGCCTGCAAGAGAAGCTGATTTCCATCTCTCCACCTCTCCGTTTGTGTTTTTCCGTATGACTTTTCCACTTCTGATAATCCACAAACGACTGGTCACACGTCTCACAAGTGTAATGCTTGTCACCTAATTTTGAAAGTATCATTTTGAATTATATAATAAAATATTTAATTTTTTTTGAAAAACTAAGAAAAATAATTTAAATGTCTCATAGTAACTACAAAAAGAAAGAAAATGCATTTAAGAGAGTTTCATATCTACAGTTTCTACTTCTAGAAAAATTGAATGATTATGAAAATAAAATTCAATACCCCTATGCAAGGCGATATGGTTCTCGAAGTTGATTGGCGACACTTTTTGCACGCAGTGTGGACACTGCTTGCGTTCGTTATAGTGCATTTTGTATTCATGGCCATATCTTTTCATAGATGTTGGGAACTTCTCAAAGCACATTCGGCACTTGTACCTGAGACTCTCAGGATGGGTGAACAGGTGTCGGACCAGATTATCCATCAAATTGGTCTCCAACTTGCATATAGAGCAACTGAAGAGAGGGGCTTCTATATCCTTGTGAATGAGTTTCATGTGGGCCATCGCGGCTGTGTTACTGACGAACTGACTGTTGCAATACCTGGAATATTTTTTTCAGGTTAATATTCAAGATTTTTTTAAATACTTTTCCAATGTAGGAGGTGAAAACAATTTAAAAAATAAATATTACTTGCAATAGAAGCTGTCAACTCCATCTTCAAGATTGTTTTGGAGGAGGATGCCAGTCTTGTGGACATTCAGGGCGTGGTCATAGAACTTTGAGTTATTGCTGAACTCAGCGTCGCAGCCACCAATTGTACACCGGAAGAAGCCATGACCTATTTCGGTGACGTGTGTCCGTCGCAAGTGTGTCGTCATCAAGAACTTGCGTTTGGTCATGTAGCCGCACAAATCGCAAGAGTAACGCATGTCCTCGTGCACCTGCCTGTGCTGTTTCAGTGACCCTGCTGAAGGGAATGTGATCTTGCACTCAGGACACTGGAAGTTGCGTTCTCCTTTGTGGCGCATCATGTGCAGTTTCATTCTGTCTGGAGCAAATTCCTTTGAACAAACTCGACATGGCACTGGTTCCTGCAATCAAAAATCCAAAGAAACTTATTTCAAATAGTGAGGTTCAAGTGTCTGTTACCATATGAGTTCGTAAATGGGCATTGAGGAAAGGTTTTGAGCCAAAGAGTTTTCCACACTTGGGACACAGAACTGCATTTGCCGAAACATGAGTGTCCTCGTGATGCCTCTTGCTGCTTCTCAGTCGGAATACCCTTGGACAGAGACTGCATTTGTGTGTTTTGTACTGTGGGTGCAATTTCTCCATGTGATTTTCCTTCTTCCTCTCAGTCATGAACATCTCATCACAGTAGTCACATTTGAAATTTGGTTTTTCTAGAGACTCTAGGAACTTGAGAGCTTCTTTCTGCTCTGCCAATACATGCTTCCTAAGAGTAAAAAAATTTCATAGGATTAGACTGGATTAGACCTAAAATAACAATTTTACATACGTGAACAACTTCTTGTCGTAAAAGCAATTGTCACATTGTTTGCATCGGTAGCATGTTAAAACCTTTGGCAATTTCCTAGACAATCTCTTTCTCCTAATCCTGAGCGCTGTTGGTTTCTGCTTACTTGTAGGGTGCAATTGGCCCCAGTGAGCCCTGAACACAAGTTGGTTGCTGAAGAAAACTTGGCAGATTGGGCAACAAAAAAGCTTGCGGCTGTGCCGTTGTTTGAAATGCGCCAGGTACTCATCACATCCGGCCAAGCTAATGTTGCACATTGAGCAGACTAATGTCGGGTAAGTGGCCTCAAAGGTGGGGTCCAGAACTTTCTCAAGAGCCTGACGCAGGGCTTCTTTGTTAATAGTAGTTTCTTCATCCTCTTCCATTTGATCCCCTTGATTGTCATCTTGGACGCCATCATCATCTGGAAATCCCATATTACCAGTATCTCCACAGCCAATACTATCTGCATCTTCATGGTCCATTCTACCTGCATCGTCTTGATCATCGTCATCTCTAAAACACCAATATATATATATTTTTTTTTATTCTCAGAAAACTTTCATAAAAAAACATGTCAATAAATAATTTTTAATCTGATTTAATCCAAAGTAACTTTAACTGATATTGATGCTGTCACAGAAAATTATTGGATCTTCCAATTTTTTTATTTACCATAAAAAAACATTGAAATCAAATGACATAATAGACTAGAGTTCGATCTAAGTTTTCGGCAGTTATTGGACAGAGACAATGTAATATAAAAAATTTTTAATATTGCCCATTGCAGTCCCTATAATTGGTTTACTGGCTACTTACATTCCAACTTCTTCCATTATGTTTTTGAGAACATCAACCTGTACACAAATAATGCATCAAAAATTGAGCAAATTTAAACACAATGCACTTTACTTTTTCTCGCGCTTTTGGTTGTTCAGGTAAATGGAATTTAAACCTCAAATATTTATCAGCTTTAGCAACTATTTTGTACAAGTGGTAAATGGATTCCACTGCGTTGATGCACTTAATGCAAACTTTCAGTGGCAGATCATCTGATTCAGACACCTAAAATTTTTAATAATTGAAAACCTTGCAACTGAAAAAAATTATTTCATAGAATTCATACCTGGATTGGCAACACATCATTGATTTTTTTAGAAAGCTGTATGTCACAGCCCGAGTCTTCAAAAATCCCAATCAGTGGCAATTCAACCTTAGAGCAAAGCCGACAGACACGCTCCTTATTCAGTGGCATACTGGAAATCACAGGAATAGGCTCATCATCCACAGGATTGGAGTCCTTCTGCTGACACTCCTCCTCCTCCTCCTCATCAGAGGGAAGAGGTGAGGAATTTCTGACCTCCAGGGCCAAAATCTCTTCTCTTGTCAACATGTGCAGTGGATTTGAGTTTCTTTGCTCGAGTTCCCTTGGCTTAATCAACTGGTTTCTCACAAAAATTTCCTTCGTTTCTCTGCGCGCTTCTTTTAGGTTCACTCCTGGTACTATGATGCTGGTTGCAATGAGTGGAACTAGTTCTATTTCATCTCGAACAACATCGCGAGGAACTTTAACGAAGGGATTGCGCTGCGAATAGCCATGCTGTAAAAGAAAAACGGAAAAATATATTGGATTGAAGAAGGAAAATTGCATTTATTTATTTATACCTCAATCCTTGGAGCCAAGCAACCTCTGACAAAGTCTGCTCTCTGTTTTTTAATGAACTTTTCAATGTCGTCTCCTTTTCGGAATGAAGATCGAGCCTCAATCTAAAAATATAAATTAAATATTTTGAACACTCTTTCAAATAATACTAAAATGAATTAATTTTGCTCTAATAATAATTATCTTTTTGACCTCTTCTATTTCTTCCTTGCTGCATGAGTCCTTCCAGTCGTAGCATACTGCATCGTCCTTCAATTTATGACTTGTGCCATGAAGTAATTTGCAGCGGTACAGAAAAGCTGACTCTGGGAAATGCAAGGAGCAGATGCGGATTTTATTCATTGTTGGGATTTTTCGAATTGGATACGAGAAAATGTTCATCCGATCAAAAATCTCCCTCCTCCTGAAAAACAGAATTGATTTAGACTCAGATTTACTTGCAAAAAAAAATAATAATATAATAAAATAAAAACGATTTAACATATACATTTTGATAGGAATGGACAAAAGTGAGACTTCATTCTTTTCCCAGTCGTCCTCCTTGTACTGGTTTGTGACGCACCGAAAGTAGTGACATTTCTTCTCCTCAAATTTCTCCATTGTCAAATATATTTCTGGAATTAAAGCTTGAAGGTAAAATAATTAAAATGAGCTAAATTCCACTAAATGCACAATGCAATGCGGCCCCGTTGCCATTGTTTATGTCTTCGCCTGACCAATAATGAGCCAAGAGGGAAGAGGGGGTGTGGCAAATTGTGATTATTAATGGCGCTGAAAATAAATTTTGGACCGACTTCCGTCTGTACAAAGAATTATTATTTGGCTATTTGCCTATGGTAGAGTTAATGAGTTGATTGCATTGATTTACTATTTAATTATTTAATTTTTTTAAATTATTAGGTCCATTATAGGTCAATGTCACATACCTAACAATTTTTTTTTGGGGTAAATTTCATAATATATCACAATTCACCGCCAAGGTAAATATAATACGACACGTCTTATAATTATGTATGTACCATACGGTCTGTACATACCGAAAGAAAAATGCAATAGAAAATTTAATTGCTCTTTTTTCTTTTTCACAATTTTTCTATTTTATCTTTAAATTTCCATAGGAAATGCTTTCGGGAGTTTCACACTTTTCCACAAAATTATTTTTCAAGTGTGTGCACCTTAATTATTAAACACACAACACACATGCGTACTTATTTCTTCAGGGAGTTCCTTTTTCTGAATAAAATTTTCATGACTGAGGAACAACAGCACATTCGCTAAATTAATGCAAATTATTTTTAACCAAATTAAATAATTATTTAGGAATTTTCATGACCCACAACATAATATAAGTCTATTTTTTGTGCCATGATTCATTTTATTATAGGGTATTATCTTGTGGTATATTGAAATCTCTTTTGCTCCTCTTTTAATGTTTTGTATTGTATTTCCTTCTTTTTCAATATTAGCTCAAGCTACATGCTAAGTATGTATGAATATTGAACTTGGTCAATTTCCTGTGTCTCTATTTCTTCAGCTTGAACTTCCTCCTCATCAATTTTGAACTTCAAATCTTTGACATCTCTTTTGTGCAAGATATGTTTGGCGTGTTGGTTTTCCTGTCTGTGCTTTTTGGCCGTCATCTTGTTGGTGCATGAAAATTCACAGTCAGGGCAACTGTAAACCTTCGGTTTTGTGTGCAGATTCTCGTGCCACCGTCGATTGTTTCCATTCTCAAAGGTCTGCCCGCAGTGCCTACAAGGGAAGGTGCTACCAACCAATCCACCCTCTTCTTTGGAGAGTTTGTGTTTGTCCATATGGATTTTCCACTTGTTATGTTCCACAAACGAACGGTCACATATCTCACAAGTGTACTGCTTGTCATCTAAATATGAAGTGGATATGAGCAAAAGTGAATTTTAAAAGTGGAGGAAATATTATATAAATCAATATTTTGTTGTAATGCACAAGAAAAAGAAAAATATTTTAATGAAATATTATTTTTTAAGGCTTTTGGATTTAAGGAGATTAAAAAAAAATAATAACAATAATTGTAATGATAAAATTTATACCCATATGCAAGGCAACGTGGTTCTCAAAGTTGATCGGTGACACTTTTTGATCGCAGTAGGGACACTGCTTGCGATTTTTGTAGTGTTCTTTGTACTCATGGGCAGATCTGTTGCGGGACGTTGGGAACTTCTCAAAGCACACTCGACACTTGTACCTGAGACTCTCAGGGTGGGTGAAAAGGTGGTTGATCAGTTTGTAAATTGAATTGGTCTCCAGCTTGCAAACAGAGCAGCTGTGTATTGGAGTCTCCACCTCATTGTGCACTCGTCTCATGTGGGTCATCACAATCATGGGAGTATCAAACTGGCTGTCGCAATACCTGAGAAAAATTTGAAAATATTACAGGCCATCGTACATAAGAAATATGAATACTACCTGCAGTAGAAGCTGTCTACGCCATCTTCAAGATCATTTTTGAGGAGGCTGCCAGTCTGATGGACACTGACTGCGTGGTCGTAATACTTTGTATTATCGTTGAACTCACCATCGCAGTTGCCGATGGCACACCGGAAGAAGCCGTGACCCAACGAGGCAGTATGTGTCCGTCGCAAATGACCATGCATAAGGAACTTCCGTTTGGTCATGTAGCCGCACAAATTGCAAGTGAAACGCCTGTCCACGTGGGCCTGCCTGTGCTGGCTCAGGGAGGCTGATGTAGGGAACTTAATCTGGCATTCGGGACACTGGAAATTACGTTCTCCTTTGTGGCGCATCATGTGCAGTTTCAACCTGTCTGGTCTGCACATCTTTGAACAAACTCGACATGCCACTGGTTCCTGCATTCACAAAATTGAGATATAAATTTGATATTATGTAGAAAAATTAATTAATATAAAATAGCTCTTGAGTATATTGATCCTACGTAATAGTTTAAAACACGAAATACAAAAGAAAATACCCTTTTAGGTTATAATAGTAAAGAAAATATTACATACCATGTGCGTACGCAAGTGGCAAGTGAGGAAAGGTCTTGAGCCAAAGATTTTTCCACACTTAGGACACAGAACTGCATTTTCCGAAGAATGAGTGTCCTCGTGGTGCTTCCTGCTGATCCGCAGACGGAATACCTTTGGACAGAATCTGCATTTGTGTGGTTTGTACTGTGTGTGCGCTTTCTCCATGTGATTTTCCTTCTTCCTAGTAGTAATGAACATCTCATCACAGTAGTCACACTTGACAGTTGGCTCCTCTAGACATACTCGAGCCTTTCGTGTTTTCGGGTGCTCCTCGGACACATGTTTCCTTAGCAAAAAAAGATAATTTTTATATCTCTAGTATCCTAAATATTGATTTCAATATAGAATAATATGGATAAAGAAAAATGAAGAGAACAAATTTAAAAAATTAAAGGGATGTGGGATAACAAAATTACATGTAACATACCTAAACAAACTTATGTCATAGAAGGAAGCGTCACAGTTTTTACACTTATAGCAAACTAAAGATTTTGGCATTCTCCTCAACAATATCTTCTTTTTCACCACTGGTACTCTCTTTATACTTTTAGAGTGAAACTGGTTCCAGTGAACCCTCAGAAGACCTTGGTTGCTGTAGAAAACTTGGCAGATTGGGCAGGCCACCAGTTTGCGGAAGTGGATACTCTGGAAGTGCCCCAGGTACTCATCAGGGTTGGCTAGAGTAATATTGCACCTTGAGCAGTAGAGTGGCGTGAAAGTAGCCTCAAAGGTAGGGTCTAGCACATTTTCCAGGGCCAAACTTAGGACTCCGTTGCTAACGGTGTTTTCCTCGTCCATATCCATTTGGTCTGATTGATCACTGTCTTCAGCACCACCATCGTCTGGAAAGTCCATGCTGGCAGTATTTTTGTAGCCAACACTATCGGAATCTTTGTCACCCATTCTTTCTGTGTCTTCGTGATCATCGTTATCTCTAAAACACCAAGATTTTTTTACTTGTCTACATAAATATCTGTAAAAAAATTAATATTTTATAGATAGAAGAAGAAATATTGGGAGATATTCACATGTTAACTTGCTTATGGGATTTTTTGGTGCTAACTTAGCATGTGAATATCCCCCATTATATTCTAAAAATGATCCTCATTCCATCCCTAATTGCCCTATTAATAGTTGGCAAGGACTTACATTCCTACGTCTTCCATAATGGCTTTCAGCACGTCAACCTGAGTTAAAAATAATTAATTGGTGTTTATTTATAAATTAACCACTATTGAAACTACCTTTTCTGCTGGTTTTGGTTCTTCAGGTACGTTGAATTTAGACTTCAAATATTTGTCAGCTTTTGCAACTTGGTTGTACATGTAATAGATTGACTCGATATTGTTGATGCACTGAATGCAAACTTTTAACGGCAGATCATCTAACTCGGACACCTAAAATTATAAAAATGAAAAAGAGACAATTGAGAAGAAAAATGACAAATCATACAAAGATTGGCATAACTTCATTGATTTTCTCAGAGAGCTGAATGCTGCGACCCTGGTGATCAAATATCCCAATAAGTGGCACTTCTATCTCGGAGCACAGTCGGCAAACCCGCTCTTTATTGAGCAATGTCTCTGGCTCAGTAATTATGGGAATTGGCTCTTCCTCTAGCTCCTCCACAGGGGGCACAGGGGAAAGTGGGTCCACCTCCTCCTGCTGCTGATCCTCCTCTTCCTCATCAGGTGGCCGAGGAATTGATCTTCCCTCAAGAGCCAAAAATTCTTCTCTTGTCAACATATGTGGGGGATTTGGATTGTCCATTCGCCCAAGTTCCCTAAGCTCCATCAATTGATTTTTCACAAAAATCTCCATTGTCTCTTTGCGTGCCACTTTCAAGTTCACCCCCGGTTTGATTTTAGTGGTTGGTACGAGTGGAACTAGTTCCACTTCATTTCGAGTCACACTAGGAGGAACAATAATACAGGGATCAGGTTGCGAATAGTCATGCTGAAAGAGTTTAAATAAAATTTTAGAGATTTACAGAAAGCACTTAAATATCTTTTTTGTACCTCAATCCTTGGAGGGATGCTACCGTAGCGACTTCCGCCAAAGCCTGCTTGCTGTTCTTCAATGAACTCTTCAATGTTGTCTCCTTTCCGAAACGAAGCTCGAGACTCAATCTAAAAGTAATTACACAAATAATTATTTTAGCCTTGAAAAATGAGAAAAACTTTAATGTTTTCATTAAAATTATTTAAATTATCAACCTCTTCAACTTCCTCTTTGCTACACGAGTCTCTCCAGTCGTAGCACAAGGCATCTCTGTTCAGTTTTTGTCTCACTGAGCCGTTAGGCAATTTGCAGCGGTATCGAAATGCAGAATCTGGATAATGCATTGAGCAGATGCGGATTGACGTCAATTCCGGGATCTTTATTGGGTAGGAGGCAATGTTCATCCGACAGAGATTCGCTGCTCTCCTGGAAAGTCAATTAAGTATGTATAGAGTCTGCAAATAACAATTCAAAATCTTTAAAAATAATTTTACGTTTGCAGGGGAATTGAGTGTAGTGTTATTTCATTCTTTTCCCAGTCGTATGCCTCCTCGTACTGGTTTGTGACACATCGGAAGTAGTGACACTTCTTTCCTTTGAATTTAACCATTTTCTAGTAAAAAATCTGTCCTTAAAAATTCTTACAAATGTGACAGAAAGACACAAAACTGAAAAATAAATGCACAAAATTTTCTGCTGTGCTCTTCTTGGCTGTGCTACTGCTACTTTTGTTTACGTCCGGCTGACGAATCAGAACGCAGGGAACAAACGAAGGCGCAACAAAGGAGGAGGGGGGGGGGGGAGAACAAAAAAATCGAAATAACTTTTTAATGAGGCGCTAAAAGCAATAATAATAATAATTATTATTGTTATAAGTTTCAGAATTTAAATTTATTAGAAAATTAAATTTAAAAACTAATAAATATTACTGTCGATTTTGAAGATTTGTAAATAAAAAAAAAATTTAAATGCTTTAATAGAGATAATAAAATAATTAATGTAACATTGTGAGTATAAAATTAAAATTCTATTGTTTCATACTAGTAAGTCTATGTACAATATTTATTTCATAAAAATTAAGTGTATAATAAACATATATGCATATATTATGATGATGCAATATAATAATACATTTAAAAGTTAATTTTCCTTTTCATACACACTCATCAGTTTTATTTTTCAGTGCTGTGGAAGTTCTAAGTAAAGTTTGTAATTGTAATTAAAACCTTATAATATCAAAGTAAACAATCATCCGGATCATTTTTTCAGTGCATCTCAACAATGAAGTAGCTGATCTGCTCTTCCTCTCCAAGCACTGTCACATGCTTCGCCAACTCCTCGTCCTCCCTCATCAACTCATCTGAAATGACAACCTGTTCCTCAACCACATTTCTGTGCTGAGAACTAAATTCTTTCATTTCAATTGATTCAACAATCATCTCCTGTGGTGCTTCTTCTTCTAGGATGTTATGCGCAGCTTCCTGCAGCTCCTGCTCTTCTGGAATAAATTCCAATTTGTTGACAATGTGGAATTTTTGGTTGTGCTTTCTGATGGACTGCTTTGAGGTACATGCATAGTCACAAGATTCACATTCGTAAATAGTTTCCGCTGTGTGAAGCTTTTCGTGCATTTTGCAAGCAGGTTTTGTTCGAAACGATGCTTCGCAGAAACGACACTTGTGGATTCGAATGTCCAAGTGTATCGACAAGTGTGATTTCCATTGCGATCTGAGGTGGAACGCTTGGTCGCAGGTTGGACATTTGTAGGGTTTGATACCTAGAATTACAGAAACTTACATTACATATTGAACAGAATATTTTTCCAGCCATACTCTATAATTTTTGTCGTAGTCAAAATACGCAGAAATTTATTAATAACAAACCTTTGTGTACGTTCATGTGCTCCTTCATGTTGTCCACATTTCTCCCACAAAGCTGACACATTTTTTTCTTTCTAAAGTGTGTCCCAAATTCATGGGAGCCTCTTCTGCGCGACGTTGAAAACATCATAGGGCACTGTTGGCACTGGAAGCGGCAGCACTCTGCATGCTGCTCAAGGTGGGTGTCAAGCTCTCCTAAAATTGGTGTCTCAAACTTGCACACACTGCATGTGTATATTGCATTTTCAACATCAGGATGTACCTTCTTGATGTGACTTGAGTACCATGTTGGAATGTCAAATACTTGCTCACAGTATCTGAAAAATATTTGATATAAATATATCATGTCATGATTCATTTTTTTTTTTTTTTTTTTTTTTTTTTTTTTTTTTTTTTGAAAAATCAATTATAGGTAAAAATTGAGAAATATAAAATATCCCATTATACATTTACAAGTATAAAACAGCAAACAATATGAAATTTTTTAATATCTTCGTACACTGTGTTGATATTAAATAGCATTAATTAAGTTTATGCCTCTTGAAAGTAGAAATATTAAACTAAGGCTGATAGTATGGAAACTCCCAATGAGTGGATGTGAATTCTTGAAGAGTACCTATCTGAACCAGGCTTCCTAAATGGAAAGCTAATTTTGGAAACCCAGATTACATTTATGAGAAACTAGGTTTGGGATCGTGAGTCAAGGATAAGTGTAGTAACGCAGCCGCAGCCTATGAATGCGACCAAGAAAAAAAAATTTTTTTTTAATTTGTCAGATATTTACCTGCAGAAGTATCCATCTGTTCCGTCCAACATTTTCCTTTCAATGTACCCATTCTTGGAGTGTTCACGACAGGTGTGTTCGTAAAGCTCCCTTGGTGCATCAAAAACTTCTGAGCATCCTTTGTATCTGCACTTAATGACACTCTTGAACTCTGTGCCATGGACCTTGTTCATGTGGGAATTCAACAGTGTCCTCCTTGGCGAAGCAAATGAACACTGGGAACATTTGAATTTGCTCTCGACATGCACCTGGGTTTCATGCCTTTTGAGCAGGTGCAGGAACTGGAAGGCCTCATCGCACTTAGTGCATTGGTATGGCCGCTTGTCTTTGTGGATCTTCATGTGGGTTCGCAGCTTGTCAGGGATGAACTCTTTTGCACAGACAGGACAAGGAACTGGGTCCTTGTGTGGAAAATAAAAAAATTAATAAAATGAAATTATGGCTTCTCTATTTTAATAGATACAAAAAATCTTTTATCCTATTGGGACACATTGCAGGGATTAAATCCGCTTAAGGGAATTAAGTAAAAAAGAATGATGAAAGGTTCCCTTACTAAAATCAATGAGCACCTAAATTGGCACCAAACCCCACAAGGCCATTTCTGTCAAGTGGAATTTAATTTAGGAAATGGGAAGTTATTTCATTTTTACTCAATAAATTTAAATCTCATTTTATAAATTATTTAAACATTATGTTAGTACAGTGGAAATTTTACGAACCAAAGCAAGCCACAATTCCAAAACATAAATAATTTACTTTTTAAAGTGAACCTACCATGTGCTGCCTAAGGTGGAGTTTGAGCATCATTTTGTCAGGCAAGATTTTGCCGCAGGTGTTGCAGAGGTGGCTATCCTCCTTGTGGCACCGTTCATGCAAATCCCTACTGTGCTTCAGTCTGAATCTCCGCTTGCACTTCGAGCACTCAAAGGGCAAATACTCTTGATGAGTGTTTAACATGTGCCACGTCTTGTCCATCTCAGACTCAAACATTTCGTCGCAATAGTCACATTGCAAGGTAGACTTGTTTTGGCGTTTCCTTCTCTCTTCAGACAAGTGGGACCTACAATTTTTATTTAAAATGTAACTTTCTCATGAAAAGTTAAAGATTTACTTGTACAAATAGATCTTGTCAAAGGTCATTTTGCACTGCTTGCATTGATACTTAGTTGGCTTTCTCTGAATCTTGACTTTGTGACCGTTTGCTAACTCAACCTCAGTGTTGTGCAAGATCTTTAGGTGCAGTTGGTACCAGTGCTGACGTAAGCTGAAGATGCTGTCAAAGAACACTTGGCACAACGGACACGCAGTGAGCTCTTGCTTGTGTTGCACCCTGTAGTGGTCCACAAAAGCATCAGCGTTGTCAAGCTGAATCTCGCAGGAAGAACACACTAGAGGTGCGTATGAAGCCTCATTTAGAGGATTTTTACTTTCTCTCAGAGCTGTCTGAAAGATTTCCTCATCTTTGGTGGAGAATTCGACATACTCTTGGTCTTGGGTATCGTCCATTCCAAAGAAGTCGTTGCCAGGAAAGTCATCATAATTGTTTCTGGGAATTTATAATAAAATAATTAGAGGGAAAATGAGTATCGAATTAAATTACATTTCATCAACGTTGTCACCTCCTAACATATCCATCAAGGATTGCTGAAAAAAATAAATAAATTCATTTCATTGTGCTTTTAAATTTAAAAAACCTGGTAATTTTCTTCTTCAAGAGGAGCGTACTTGCTTTGAAGAGCCTTGTCAGTATCTTTGATTTTGTTGTACATTTGATAAATAAAATCAATTCCTCCAGCACATTGGATGCAAACTTGATGGGGGAGCGAGTCGTTCTCAGAAATCTATAGAGAATTGAATGCAAATAAACTTCTCATTAATTAAAAATAATTACTTTTATTGGAAGGACTTCTTGCATTTTGAAGGGCATGTTAAGGTCCTTCCCAGCTTCGTCATATATCCCGACCATTCCCTCTTTCTCCTCCCCACACAATCTGCAGATCTTTTCTTTAGGCGTCTCCATAACAGGATTATTATCTTCTTGAAAATCACTTTGGCCTAAGTCATGTGTATCCATTTCCTCATCGTCCAACGGTGCCGTTAAGTTGCTGGGAGAAATTTTAGGGTCAACGAATCCTGATTTCCTTTGATTTTCTAATTCAGTAGTTTCCCCAGCTATTCTTTCCTCCTGTATAATTGATCTACGAGTTAGACAAAAAAATGGCAAAAGAAAAAATTCAAACTTGCTTCTGCCTGCTGGAAGACCAAAGCTCTCTGGGAATCAATAAACTCAAGAATGTCGTCTCCTTTTTTGTATGAAATTCTTGCTTCAATCTGCATTGAAATAGACATTACAGGGAATAATATTTGAATAATATTTAACTAGACAATGCCATTTTTCCTGATGGGGAGATTTGCAAAATTAACTTAAACTTGCCTCAGCAACTTCATCTTTGGAGAATGAGTCTCTCCAGTCAAAGGGGAGGCTTCCCTTTTGGAGCATTTTAATTATACCAGGACGATTTTGGAACGCGGATTCAGGAAAGTGCTTAGAGCAAATTCGTAAGGCAGAAACTGTTGGAATATTCGGCGCAAGACTAGCCACATTCATGCGCTCCAAGTACTCTTGACGGCTGCAGAAAGCAATAAATTAATTGTTTTCAAACTGTTTTTTAGCTTAAAGTCTTGCAAAAACTCACTTTGTTAAAGAAATGTGGAAGAGTCTGACTCCAGATTCCTCAAAATTTGGCTCACTGAGATTATTATTGCATTGGAAGTAATGACATTTCTTAGTTTTGTTCACCAAGGCAATTTCTTCTTCAATACTATCAATGTAAAATGATTAATTTTGTCCAAATTTTCAAATCAAATGAAAATTCCACCTGATGCTGCAGATTTTAAAGTGTTTCTTGAAGGTAGAAGGAAATTCAAAAGACTGCTCGCAGTTCCAGCAAAATCGTCTTCCAACAATTTCCTGATCAGATTTTTTACTGTAAGTGGGGTTACAGTAGCTCATCTTATGACGATAGAAGCCAGTATGACCTGAACTTGTTTTGCCACAGTCCAGGCAAATGTAGATCTTAACGTCCTTTTCAGCCTCACTAGAATAAAATAAAAAGGATAGATAATTAAGACTATGTATCTATTCTCAATTTAAAATTTTACTCTTGTCCATCAGAATCATCAGTGTCGCCCGCATTGCGTCTGTGAGACAAAATTTTTAGACAAAATTTAATTTTATTATAATATTTTACTTCTCGGTTGGATGCACAAACGTTGTGTGACTCTTCAGGCCACCAACTGAGGTGCAAATTTTATCGCAGTATGGACAAGGGTACTGAACTTTTGGCCTGGCAGACGTTGGGCGTCCTGCACACGTTTTTCGGTGGTTGTCATAAGTGTGGGCGTTTTGAAACTTCTTGAAACAGAAGTTGCAAGTGGGCTGCAGGCCTTTCGGATTGCTGTAAGATTAATATGCAGTTATAAATTATAAATAAAATAATACATACAGCACAAAAAAATTTTTATGTTACATACATTCCAATGCTGTGCGCAACCGTCTGATGTCGTCGGAGAAGATATGCAGTGCTAAATATTTTTGAGCAAATGCTGCAAGCAAACTTTGGGTCATTAAATAGCGCCTGGTCCTGTTCATCATCGTCTCCCATGGCGAGATGAAATTTCCGAGATAAATTTTGGTAAAAAAAAGAATCTCAAAGAAATTATAGATAGTTAATGAATAATATTTTGGCCAGAAGAGCTTAAAATTTAAATAGAAATATCACTTTCTTCATTATTCCGACCAACAAGAGGCTACCAGGTTTTGTTGTTGTTTCTTCCTTAAAAAAATTGACGATCGAACGAACGGCGAGCGCTGATTGGCCTGTCCATGAAACTCAAACTACTTTGCGCGGGAAATAAGGTCGCCAGTAATAATGAGTTCGCTTATCGTCTCCAGTGGCTTTATGCAGCCATAATTCATGAGCTTTCTCGGCGGTGGTCGAGAGAAGAGTGAGCAAGGAATTAGAGCTATAGTAAAACACTTTTTTCAAGCAAATAACACTTTGAATGTAATATTTATTAATAAATTCCCATTTATTCAATTTTATTCTTGAGATCGAGCCACATAAATTTCCATGTATTCCGTTGTAGGCCTTCTTAGTGTTTTGGGAAAATAAAAGTAATAGAGGAGAGTAAAATGAAAAGAGCGCGAGGAGACACTTTTTCAACAGCAAATATATCAATGATATAAGGGGAACAGCACCATATCAAGCACAATCCCCACCTTATAAGATAATACATATTATCCTAACAAAGACTTGTAATTTTCTTAATTGTTGGAATGTTTTCTTTTTACATTAACTTAATAAAAATGGACGGATCTGATATAACAACAACTTGTAACTTACACACGGATCTTGTTAAATACTGAAAAACAATGCCATCCATCTTTCTAATATCACATCTTCAAAGATATTTCACGTCTTTCATTAACATTTAAACAATTATGATAATTAACCCAAGTATACAGCCGCAATGACAAAATTACAAAAAGAACAATCATACAGCAGGAGTATAGATAAAATCACATGCAATTTTATGAATTTCAGCATCTCGCAACAACAATTTTACATTACAGACTAATGACTCTTGCCTATTTGTCAGAATATTTTCTCAAATACGTCCAGCTTGTTTATTATATAGTTTTTTCCAATTTTAAATATTGATGGTTTTTTAATTTCTTTAACTTTTCTAAACCCTGCTCATTTATAAGCACCAACTGCAGTCCAAATGAAAACAGGAACTTTCTATATCAGAGTACTTTTTAAATACGGGTAATCACGCTAAAATATCTATATTTCCTTATACTTATTAATTTACATTCTACACTTGAGCTCATCACACCGATTTTTTTTAAATAGGGAAATGTTTTACATTGTCTGACTTGTCTGACTGAAAAGATGAGAAAAAAATACGCCCGTCCTTTCTACACAATGTCTGATTAGAGATAAGAGTACCGGGATTTGAAAGTTATGTATATATAAATATTTATTATGTCCAACGCCGAAAATAGATTTTTTATAAATAGATCATAAGCTATAACGAAAAGCAACCTTTAAGGTATTGAAAGACTACACAACTCATTTTTGTATTCTTCATGATGATTTTTTCGTTACTAATAATATTTCCTTGTGCATGAGTATTATCAGGAGCTATATTAAAATAATTTTAAAAAACATCATGCTCAGGTGAATTTTTGACTCCATGACTGGTTTTGTTTTATATAATAAAGTTAATAGTTTAAAAAGAATCATTTGGAAAAAGAATAAAGAATAATAATGTGTCGAATGTGTCATTTAAAAGTGAATTGTGTCACACATTGCACTTTTGAATGGACGATAATTTTCATTTGATCCGCTAAATTTATTTTTTAGGGTTAACATTCAGTTTGGAAACACGGGCGCGTCTAAAGTTTTACAATCTTTTTTTCCTGGGCATCTTGGGATGTGTGCTTTTTGACCAGTAAAATTAAAAATCTGAAAACCGCCAAGAGACTTTGTTAGTTTCAATTTTGAACATTTTGAATAACCTTTTGTAAGGGGTAGTATAACATTAATTGTCAGTGGCCAAAATTCAAATTTCTCTTAGTAAGTTTCATTCAACACATCAAAACTTAAAAATTGCTCCTATTGTTATTTTTAAAGCAGATATTGTGCACAATTGGAATTTAAAAGTGACCGGAAACACTTGTTTTAATATAGCTGATATAAAAAAACTGAAATATTTGTTTAATTTTTGGCATCTGGATCGTTGCAGCAGTTCACACTGTCTGAAATCACACAAAAGTTTCGTCCAAAGTGCGGGGCGGCTGCTCTTCTGGTCAAATGTCACTCTTGCTGCCCCTGCAGTTGGGGGCGACGACCTCGAGGTGGACGACGGTCTCCTTGGCGGCGCTGCCCAGGGTGCTGCACTCAAGGGTGTCGCGGTTGGGGATGAGCAGGTTGCGCACCTGGCACTGGGGGTGCAGGTGGTGTGGAGATACGGCGCAAAGGCGAGCGTTGCTTGCGTAGCTGTGCACGTCGGTGGTGATGAACGTGTTGCGGCACGCGCTGTCCGAGCCCAGTCCGAACTTGGCCAGCAACTCCTCCCACACCCTATGCACGGACACGCGCACCTCTGCGTTGTGGTAGCCGTACACCCAGGGGTTGAGGGCGCTGCTCACAAACACGGGCAGCGACAGCCCCGCCGACAGCCACTCCTGGTCCAGCAGCCGCGTGTCGTTCGCCACGTCCCACGCCATGGTGCTCGCGAACGGCACCCACAGCAGCAGAAACAGCCCCACGGTCAGCGCCAGCGTCTGGCCGTACCGACTTGACTGGTTGCACGTGGCCGCAGGGATGGCTGTGTTGGTCGGGGTGTTGATCTGAGGCACGGTCGACGGCCGCCGCAGCGACAGCTCCACTGTGAAAATCGCCCGGGCGTGGTACCTGCAAAAAACAAAATTGCCGCTTTTAGACTAATTAGGTGCGTTTGGAATTTAATTAAAAAAGGAGTTTCCGTTTTTTTCTTTCGAATAAAAATTAAGTTGCTCTATATACGGTAGGGTGGATTTTCATGGTGCGACGATTTTCCAAATTTCCACTCATTTTTTACGATTTTAAGTGTTTAAATTTAATTTTTTCCTGAATTATGATATAAACAAGGTGTAAGAAATTATTTTTAGAAATGTAACTAGCTTTTTTTTAAATGGTTCCGGCTATTGAACAATTAAACTGAAAAAAAAATCATTCGTCATGCTTTACAAAAAAAATTAAAAATAACAACTGCAAATTAACAGCCCATTCAACAGTCAAAGTCAACAATAGCGAAAAACCAAAAAAAGGCTGTTTCGAGATTCACATCAAATACATCAGAATGACGACGACGCAATAATCGCAATTTGGTCAATTATTAAATTTCATTAAGGATCAATGATTAAAATAGATGATAGCATTTTTTCCCTCTGTTTCTCACCAAATCTTTATATTATGTTAGTAAAGTAAAAAAAATGAGCAAGAAAATATATAATTTTAAATTTATTGAGTTATGCGATTTTCATTCTATCATTATTGTTTTGTCTTTAATTCCAATAAAAATACCCTTCTTTGTTTATTTATTATTAAAATTAAGTGCTACGCTAGAAGAATTTATTTAATGAAACTCCGACGAAAGAAAGAAGTTGCTGCGGGAGGAAAAGATTCTTGACAAGGTAGATTAAAAAGATTTACGTTTAACGCTTGAAAGTTGTAGAAGAGATTCTCTCTCTCTCATATTAATGGATCTGCAGACGGAGTGAATCACAACCGAAGAGCGCCTCGCCTCTCTAGTTCTAGTCGGAAGCGAAATAAAAAGTTGAAAATTGCCGAGTGTGAGTATGTGCACGCGAAGTTATATAAACTGATATATATTTTATTGAGACGTGCGGATGAGGAAAAAAGCACGACTCCTTCTGTCGCAGACAGATTCGCAAGTGTACGAGAAAGTTGGCTCGCAATTTAAAGCTTTTGTTTCTTCTCTAGCACGTGCCGCGCGAGTGGTGAATAATAGAAGGGAGAAATTATGATGGCCTTTTCTATGATACTAGCAAAGGCTTGTCTAACGGAGACGCACACATCCAACTTTTGTTTTTTATTAAGGGCGGGTCACGAAAGCGAAATTCAATTTACCTCGCAACAACGTAAATGTAGCAGTAGCACATCAGAATGATGAGGGTGCAAGGAGCAAAAACTGTGGACAGAATGAAAATCTGGACCCGCTGGTTGACACGGGTGAAGGAGCAGTAGCTGACCACAACGCTGCCGTGCAGGCCCTGCCACACTAGGGGCGAAAACCCCACTGACAGCGAGTACGTCCAGATCATGATGACGTAGCGTTTCACAGAGGTGTGCGTTACCAGATTATTATACCTGCAAAAGTTAATTAATTTCATTTCCAAATAATGCAACTGATTTAAATAATTATATTTACTCTATAGGTTTAAAAAAAAAAAAAAAAAATTCTTTAAATATTTGCTAGGTTTTGAAAAATCTGCTTGCTTTTCTGATAAATTTGATAATTTGAATTTATTTTTCAAAACGAAGTTTTCAAATTAAATAACAGAAGAAAAAAACTCTGTTAAATGAATTAAATTACAAAAAATTCACACTTTTTTACTATTCAAAACTGGTGTAAAAATTTTACTTTGGCAACATTAACGCGTCGTTCAAAGCAAAGTCATTCTAATTGTAAGTGCATATGTAAGGGTAAAATTAATCTTTCCAGCATCTTTCCAGATTTAAAAAGCAAAATTTCTATATAAAAAAATACAAAAATAAATTCTCTAAAATATTGTTTTCACTTAAAAATGGTAAAAAATTATTTTGTTCATAATCTGCAAAAAATAGTTATAGCTCATGTAATAGTCACCATTTACTCTTTGTTATCGGGAATTTCTGTCCAAAAAGTTGTAGTAATGTGTAATATTAAAACCTTTTTTATTATTATTTAATTTAATAAGAATTTGTAAACATTGCAATTCTATAAAAAAGCGAATTTTGCTTAAAAGAAAAAATCGGAAGCTTTTCATTCAACTTTTGTGGGCTCTGTACTGTAAACTTTTCGTAACTCGAAACCAAATCAAATTGTACCTCAAGGGTTGGGCGAGGGAGGTGAATCTGTCTGCGGCGATGGCCGCCTTGGAGCAGAGGGAGGCGCTGCCGAGGGCGATGGCAACGCAGTAGGGCGCGAGGCAGAGGTTGAGCGTGCGGGGGGTGTTGCGCGAGAGCTCGAGGTAGAGGTGTGCGGGCAGCAACATGCCAATGCCGACGTCGGCCGTCGAGAGGGCGACGACGAGGTAATTGCTGGGGGTGCGAAGGCGCTTGAAGCGGTAGAGGGCGCCGAGGAGGAGCGCGTTGCCGCCGATGATGAGCGGCGCGAACAGGCTGACCAGGAAGATGGCGATACTGACGAACAAGGGCGACTGCAGACTGACTTTGTCCGGCGCCAAGGAAACCGGACTTTGCGTCGAGTTGAGATAAGAGGACAGGGTGGTGCTGATGCGCAGTTCGGTGGCTGCGTACAAAGAGAAGGCGGCCGAGTCGTTCAGGTCGCCCACCGGGGACGCGGTGAGGGACGCCCCACTCTTGTTGTCCATTGCGGGCTAGTGTGTTTGCCGACACACGTTTCCCTACATCATCTGAAAGCAAACAGATTCTATCTCAGTCAATGCCATACATAATAATATTCACGCCGCATTGTTATATTTGAGGGAGATGGCAGTGACACTTCAATAATCGTAAACAATTTTTAAATGGGTCCATCTGTTTCTCTATATATAGCATTGGAATATAACTATTTCAAATTTTACCCCTCTACCCTTCTTCACTCCAACAGTAATAAACAATAAACAAAAATGCTCCCCTATCAAATGCGATTATTGATATATATCGCAAATGCAACGAGAAACACAGCACACTCTTTTCAGAGTTCATTTATTGTTTCTAATAAACGCAACCACCCCTATCTCCTCCTTGTTATTGATAGTCAAAAGATGTACTAGGCCAGCTTTATCAATTAATTAAAAAACTTTAGTTTCATGAAACAAACGTGCAATTCACTTTTCAAACTGATTAAAAATTGTTAATACGGCTTTCGAAATTACTTTCATTGGTGCTAAAAAAATATGTCGTTTAACATGATCCGCCTATAAAATCGATTATTATTATCTTTGCCAATCAGGCTGTTTGAGATCATAAAGAATTAGTGCTGCACGTCCCACTTGATGCAACGAGCGCTTTCATCAGCAATTAAATCTGTGCCTTCTAATAAAACGTGCATTTCACTCTCAAACTGCCGACCATTTGGGCTCGAGTCAATAGATAAATACTCGGCAGAACACGTACAAACAATAAAATATGGTTCCAATCGGGGTCACTTTATCGCCAGCAATGAAAGCGTACAATATACCCCCGTTATATTTAGAAATTTTCTGCTGACGAGATACGCCGTCATGGATTTCCGCTAAATTCATTTTTTCCCTTATTTGATGTTTGAAATAAATGCTGTCAATTTTATATATGAGACCTTAATTTATTTTTTATTTGACACTTTTTTGTTTGAACAAATTGTTGAAATCTTCTGGTAAAGGGGATGTGATTTTAAAAAAAGTGTCCTTTTTGCCAGGATTAAAATTTCCATGTCTTTTTTTTAACTCTGCGTTACATTTGCATTGGCAACTTTGAGAGAGCTCGAAAAATTGCTGCATGGGTAATCGTTTAAATTAAACGGAGCAGGACCATTTTTCACCGGAAGGCACTATACTTGACTGTTTAGAATTCAGTTGAGTCTGCACGTTTCCCGCCGTCTCTTGTCAGGCAACCGAGTCACGTGCGGGCCAATTTCTTGTAGTGTGTATTGACGTTGTTCTATTTTCGATCGGGAGCCTCACGAATGCATGTGAAAAGGTGCGCCGGCAGCCGGTGGAGCCACGGAAAATCATTTTGTGTGCGCCGAGCATGAACGGCGGGAAATAAATTGAAGGCACAGGGCGAATTGGCTCGACGGGGTAGGTCTCGTTTAAAGAGGCATTGTCGCCAGGAACAACTTGTGACACCGTCGCCAGAGCACTTTATTTCCCAGGGCCGGACAGACACGCCCAAAATTACACCGCCCATTACCGCGAGAGAAATTATGCTGCCGACGAGCACTCCGGCAAATGAGATGGGAACGACCCGTCATTATTTTTTTTTACATAAAAGTGGCAAAAAATTCATAACAATCCATTTCAATTTTGTCATTTTTACTGGCGTTTTCGTTCAGGTTTTGGATGAATATTGATGAAAGTTTCGTTATCCAGCGCCGTCATTTATTATGAAATTTCTGATTAATAATAGTAGCCGGAGAATTTCTTTTTTAACACTTAATATGTTGTGTGAAATTATTAAATTCTGTTTTTATGTAAAAAGATGAAAATGGAATTTTGTATGTACTTTTAACAATTAGCCACAATTTTTTTAGTTTGAAAATTTTCTAAAAGAAAAAAATGCTATTGCTATCGAAGAATGGTTATTGCACTTATCCCCTTTTTCTCTCTTTATGTGACAGAATTTTACTATTTTATTTAAAAAGTCACTCTGATTGAATGGAAAAAAAACATTGTGCCTAATTTTACTTTTTAATTGCAGAGATTAATTAGAATTATAAATAATTTAATTTGTTATGAATTAATACGTTCAGACCCTTCATAAATACGCTAGCTTCTTGATGGATCTCTGACAAGGCCTATAATTCTTTTATAGCGTGCCTCACGTATCAATTTTCGTAATTTGAGTGCATTCACCCAGCATCATATCCGCGCACTTCCGTGTTTTGCCTCAATTACCCTTGCTGTGCAAGTTCAAAAGCGAGCGAGCCAATTTTGCAATTTACGAGTTTTGCCTCCACATATGTGTAGGGACGACCGGACACTCCGACCCTGGCGGCGCACGTTACAGTCTGCCCACGCATTCTTTGCCTTGTGCTCTCGGAAACCAATTTTCCTTCGCCGCCCGGACCCACTCAGTCAGCGAGATTACTCATTTGAACTCCATTCAAAGAAAAACAATCAGAGGACGAGCCGCAGAAATGATGGTGTCGGTCACTCACACCGTGTGTTTGACTGCGCGCCCACCCACCATCACTGATTTCTTCCGACTCGTCTGCTTTTGAGTTGCTGATTGATACGACAGGGACGATAATCATGTTTTCAAAAGGATTTTGATTTTGCAAAGTAAACAGCTTTCAGCAAAATTGGTTGCTGACTTTCATTTAAAGATAGTATGCTGTGCGAGAAATAATAATGGATTTAAAATAATCTAAAATTTGAGTTAATGTCTTTAACTGTTCGTATTTTTTAAATTTTGTTTAAATTTGGACATAGCCCAAAAAAATAATATTCACTTTTTCGCGCAACTTTTCTTTCCTTATCCGTGGTAATTCTCCAATATGTATTTTATTTTTACAGCGTCAGTTTGCAAATGAGTTTTTATTATGCTTAGAGAAGCTTCCCGCAGAGCATCAACGTCGAGCGTGCTGCATAACTCGCCAAAGGCCGTAAAACTGCCTTGAGAGCCGCGCGCGTTGTTCGTTCGATCCGTGGCTATTTCATATTACGGGCCTCAATGCTTGAGGATAATATTCAGGAAATTAGCATCTTGTATATCGCATCAATTCATCTCCTCCCTCCCTGCTAAGCATTATTATTTCCATGAACTAACCTAAGCGGAGAATTAACAGTCTCTAAAACTCGTGTGCTACAAATGAACTTGTTAGATTTTGAAACCAGTTTTGGTCCGGTGTTTTTATAGCCCGTACCATAAATACATAAATGCCGCGGAGTATTACAATAAGCGCTCGACGGAAATAAACCTTTTACGTCACGCAAAAATCTCTATTAAAAGAGGGCAAACGGGGTTAATTCCCAAGCGACAGTCAGTTCCTTCTTCCTTCATAATATACTTCCAACTCTCTTGATCTCCTTTTACAGTTTTTTCTTTTAAATTTCAAAGTTTAAAGGTAGGTTTAATATGAACTGAGACTAGTTCACAAAATTTTGGGAATATTTATATTTAATAAGATCTTTCTTTTATCAAAAATTTGTCAGTTATTTAAAATGTATTTTTTTTTTTAAATTTGACCTTATTTTGGTTAAATTTTCAGAAGATAAAAATATTGCGACATTTTCTCATAGTTTCTAATGTATTTTGAGAAGTTGTAAATGTGATTTTCCGCCTCGGTGGTTTCTCTAATAAAACATTAACGCAGCATCTCTTGTAACAGCTGCTCTCGTGGCATATATTTCACGAAAGTCGTATAAACATAAACGGAGCAGCAAAACACATCAGCAGTAGTTTATCCTGGCGAGGATGGCGCGCAAACATTTCCACTCAGTTACGCCGTCATAGTAAATAAGCAGATTTGCGAGGTGGCGCGGGCATGAATTATGCACCTTTGATGTGCGCACCACAAAGGGTCTAAATAAAATGGGTGACGTCAGCAGCTCCTGCGGGGCGCGCGACACGTCGAAAAGAGACTGGGAAACAAAGCACTTTGCAGTGGAAATTTCGCCCACGGCGCCGCGTGTTGTGTTTGCGGGCAGGGCCAGGATGCCGCGCCGATATTGATTGGGCTCGCGGACTGTGTGTGTGTCTGTGGGCCACTAGACAGACGAAGAGTCTCTCTCCTCGCCAACAGAGCAAGAAGTCGCAGTGGGAGTCTGCACCACGATCGTGCCAAATGGTTTTCAACACATCCGAATTAACCAGTCAAAGATGAAAACATGGATTCGTTGTTAGAAGTGAAGTGTGTGAAGTAAAATTTTCAGCTCGGCTAGTCTTGAAAAGAATGTCCTTCAAATTTTTTGCAACATAAATATCACTAAAATTCTTAATTTTGTATCATAATTAGTCATACAATTCTTAAACCTACTTTCAATTATTTTGAATAAAAAGCGGCCATAATAGAATGAAAATAAATAATGTTTAAAAATTTGTAACAAATTGTATGAAACCATTTGAAACCTAAGCCTGAAACATTTTCAACGAAGTTTTTACTCTGTTGATAATTTATTGCAAAAGATTAAGATTAACTTTTATTCCGTATTGGTCGACAGTGTGGATGAATTAAAATCTTTGCTCTTGGTACTTAACAAAACAAAGTTATTTTTAAATGCAGTAGAAATGAAACTTTTAAAACAAGTACAGTGACAACTTTGAAAGTGAATTGAAAAAAATAATCAATTTTGGTGTTAGATTTGTAGAAATCAATCAGTTAACCAGGATTTTGATTTCAATTATAATAATTTGTTTGCCCCAACAATTGACTTTTATCATTTCTCGGTATCGCAGAAAATCAAATTCAGAGGATCGTGGGGCTGGCGGGCACGAAACAAATTACTCTCCTGATTCTCGCAATTTCAGCAGCACTAATTTGATACTTTTCCGCTTCCCGTTACATCAAACTGACCGCGCGCTTGGCGAAAAACGAAGCCCCCGAGCGAAACCCGACGCACAATTAGTGTCGACTCAACTCGTGGTGAACAAATTTAATATAAAGAGAGGCGTCCGAGCGAGGGGCAGGTGTTTATGTGCTTGCAGAGGCTTAGTAATAACGCGCGGGCAGGAAAGGGCAAAGGAACTCTTCTTAT